TTCCCCAATTTTTGTTTTTCCTTCATTTTTATTAAAAGAATTTCTGTTGCTACTAATTTTTTCTTTGTTTATATTTTGTCTTCTTTTTAATTCTAAATTTAATTGTTGCTCTTGAATTTGTTTATTATTTCTTTCTTTTTGTTTTTTGTTTAATAATGATTGAAGAAATAAACGTTGTGAAGGTGTAGAAGGAGTATTTACTTTAATTTACATAATTATTTTAATCCCTCCCCCCCTAACCTTTAGGTATTATTTTTGCATTTCTCAATTTATTATTTGTTTGTATTGGCAAAATTATTGTTTTCTATAAAAATTAAAATTAATTTAAAATTAATTAATTAAACTTACAGTAAATTTAGTTATTTTGGGTATTTGATTATTTTTGTTAATTAATGTAGATGAAGAAGTTATTAATGTTTGGGGCTTTAAATTTTTAATTCTTGGCAAAATATTTCTTTAAATTAAAATTAAAAACTTTTTTAATTTATTTAAACAATACTTCCCTTAATAATTCTAAACTAAAATTTTTGGTTCTAAATATTTGTAACCAAAAATCCCTCCAAAATTTTTGAAATTTTGCGAGTTCCAGTAATTTCCCAGAATTAAAAAATTATTAGAAAAAAATAAGAATATTTTAAATAAATTTAATTTTACCCTTCAGGAATTCGTCTATTATTATTAAATTTTAGACGTTTTGTTGTGTTATTTATTATTATTGAATTACTAGTTTTTGATCTAACAAAAAAAAATAAATAATTAATTCAAAATATGTAAATAACCTAAATTGTTGAATAAATTGTTGTTTCTATTTAAAAAAAATTAAATTTAAAATTTAAAAATAAATATAAAAATAAACCAAAAAATTATTTTTAGAAGAAGATATATTTAAGGGTTTTTGTTGTTCTACAAATTTAATAAAAAATAATAATAAAATAATAATTATTATTTTTAAATATAACATTTATTTAATTCTTTCTAAAAATTAAAAGAAGTAAGTAGACCTTTCCCAAACATTTAAAACCAAAACATTGTTTAATTATAAAGAACAAATAAAACAAATTACAAGAATTCTTTGAGTAAAAAAATTTAATTTTAAATTAAATAAATAAAAAACAAAATTAATTTTTTAATTAAAAAAATATTTGAAGAAAAAAGGGGGAAATACTTATTTAATAAAATACAAAATACTATATTTCTCTCTCCCCTCTTCAATTTTTGTATTTATCCGGCAATTATTAATAAATTATGTCCATTTCCCATTTATTTTTTTAGCAACCCTTAGGGAAGTTTTTGTGAAAGAAATAAAGAATATACGGAAAAAGAATATTTTTTTAAATATTGAATTATGTACATATAGATTTTTAGTTAAAATTCAAAACTGCTTTTCTTCAAAAAAATAATTTAAAAAAAAACGAGAAGAATCATGAGACATGGAGCCAAAAATGGAAAAATTTGAATGTTTATTTTAAATATTAAGTTCTACTAAATATTTTCTGTTATTGTTTTGTTTATTTTTTATTCTTTTTTCTTTAACCTTTATTTATTTATTTTTTACTTTATTTTCTGTTTTCTTTCCCTCGTTTTCAATTTGCCACCCGTAATTAAAGGAAAAAAGAGAAAATGCATTATTTAATGTTTAACAAATATGTGCAACCTTCCAAAAAAGCTAATTAAGTATAAAAATAAATATTTGATGGAACAAAAATAAAGAAGAAAAAATAAATAAAAATTTTGGAAAAAATATTTTTATTTCTTTATATTGTCAAAAGGCCAACATACATAAATAATTTAGATCGAAAATAATAAATGAATTTCTGTATTAATTAACAGGTTATGAATGGAAAATAATAATTTTTGATTTAATAATTAATGTTTTTAACTGACAAAAAAAGGAATAACTTAACAATTAAATAATTAATTTTTCATAATTGGAAATGCTTTAGTATGTAAAGCTGTGGCTATTTTTGTATTATCTACTTTTCTATAAACATCAGCAGAAGTATAACTTAAAGTACGTCCTAATTTAGTTACCCAAGCATCTATTAAAATTGTTTCACCTAAAAAATAAATTTATTTTTAAAAAATATTTTTTTTAATTTTTTACCAATTCTGGCAGGAGCCAGATAACTAACAGTCAAATCAACAGTTACACCCGCCTTTCCCTGAGGTGTTGCCATTAAAGCTGTTGTTGTTACAATATCCACTAATGTTGCTGTCATTCCTTTAATTATTATTTTCAACACAAAATTAATTACTAAATACACATTAGAATTTCACCGGAAGTTCCGGTAACGTGATCCGGAACTCAAATTGGATCCGGGCCAAAATTTCGGTTCCGGTGAAACACTAATACACACCTCCATGTAAAGTGCCAAAAGGATTTGTATGTTTTTCTTCAACTTCCATTTCTACTTTAACCCGTCCTTCTTCTACTTCAACTACTCGACACTTTAAAAATTAAATTTAATAAAAAAAATATATTGTCTTTAAAATTTCCAACTTTTTCAGCACATCTTTGAAAATTTTTTGATAAAGCATACACTTTATATAAATCTTTAATTGTATTTAAATATTTATTTGTTGACATTTTCTGTAAAAATTAGAGAATTAATTAAACAAAAAAACTTTAAACTTTAAAAACTTTAAACAAAATTTATTATAATTTTTCTAAAATTAGAGGGTGTATTTTTTTTAGAGGGTGTACTAAAATTAGAGGGTGTACTCGTGGGGAAGAATACAAATTGACTATTCCACATTGCTCATCCATGGTTAGATATAATTCCTACTTTATCAGAACATCTAGATTATATAATTCACTACCTATTGTTATTAGAAAAAATACACCCTCTAATTTTAGAAAAATTATAATAAATTTTGATCTGTTAGGCCATTTACGACAAGCTTTACCACACCTTATTACAAACCACTAGTTTACACAGATTTTATATTTACTCTCAAATAAAACATTCCATTTAATTTTTAAAATTTACAGTCGTGGAAAAAAGTATGGAAGCGCTAGAAAATTTTTTCTTAATTCTTAATTTTTCATTCAAAAAATACGTTCTATATACCAATCGAAAGCTCTATTCGTATCTCAGTTGACATGTTTCTGCATTTTTCATGAAAATGAAAATTGGCCGAGATAATCCGGATCTACCGGATGTACCAAATCCCACTTTTTCGGAAAAATTTTTCGGAACAAATTCAAAAAACCCAAATGATAAAGCATATTTTTCTGAGTATTTTCCATAAAACCGCTTAGAAAAATCTTTTTCCGGAGCAGAGATATGATTTTTTGAAAATGGCATTTTTCGTCTATTTTTGCAAAAAATTCAATTTTTAAGCGAAAAATGCCATTTTCAAAAAATCATATCTCTGCTCCGGAAAAAGATATTTCTAAGCGGTTTTATGGAAAATACTCAGAAAAATATGCTTTATCATTTGGGTTTTTTGAATTTGTTCCGAAAAATTTTTCCGAAAAAGTGAGATTTGGTATATCCGGTAGATCCGGATTATCTCGACCAATTTTCGATTTCATGAAAAATGCAGAAACATGTCAACTGAGATACGAATAGAGCTTTCGATTGGTATATAGAACGTATTTTTTGAATGAAAAATTAAGAATTAAGAAAAAATTTTCTAGCGCTTCCATACTTTTTTCCACGACTGTATATTATTTCGAATTTTTATGTTTTTATTTTGTTGCATTGTTGTGAATTGTAATTTTATTTGTGACCTTCGCGTCATTTTGACGTAAATAAATAAATAAATAAATAAATCCCCCTCATTTTATTTTTTGTTTTCCTTCTTTAAACTTTTTTAAAGAAATTTAGTGAAAAGAAAATAAAAACAAATGTTCTCTTTTTTTCACTCTCAGAATCAGTCAAAAATCAGAGATACCCTTTTAATTAAACCTTTATCTTTTAAATTCTTTAAAAAAATCCCAAAGAATTATTTCCTAATCAATCAATACAAAATTCAAACAAAAAATGTACGGACATATTTGTCGAAGCCGTTCAACAGCTACATTAACCCCCGAAAGTTTAACTAACGAGCCACTCCCAAAACTTTGTAAATCCCAATCTTCTTTAAATATTGCCCAACGTTATTCTGATATTAATTCCCCAACAAGGTTTTCTTTCTTTTAAATTTATTTAAATTTAAAATTCCCTCCCTAACAGATACTGGCCAAAAAACAAACCCTATTACTGGCCTTTAACTAGCAATTTGTGCTCTATTGTCTCCAATTATTTTTACTACCCTTTATTTCGCTCTTATTGGCCCTCTTATCGAAGTTATTTGGTAATTCCTTTTTTTAATAAATTAAAAAAATTCCTTTTTAGTTAGAAACAAATTGGTATAATCGAAAATTTGATCGTTACCAATTTTTACCTTCAGACCCTTATTACAAGTATTAATTTTTAATTATTTTAAATTTCCTTACAATTTTTTAAAAGTTATTGGCCTCTTCGAAGTAGTTATTATTACTGGTAAATTTAAAAAAAAATAAAAATTATTTAATAAAAAAGGAACATTCTTTTAGGTATCATTATCCTTATTTTAAACGTTGGTATGGAAATTTTTAAAATTTTAAAAATAAATAAAAAATGTAAATGAAGATTTAGAATTTAAAAAGAACAAGAAAGAGAGAAGAGATAATTTTTAATAAAATTTAAATTTTTCAATTAATTTCAATTTATTCTTTTTTTTAACAAAAATTCTGTCAATAGAAAATACATAAATGATAAAAATTAATTAATTATTCTTCCTCTCTCTCTCTAATTATTTAATGAATATCAGAAAAAAAATATTCGTTAAAAAAGATTGTTAATGTGCAAAGAACATAATATATTTAAATATCATTTACAATTTAAAGTAAAAAGAAAATTTACAGAAAAGGAGAAAAAGGTTATCTAAATGAAAAATTAAAAAAAAAATTTTTTTTGATAACCCTTTTTTAAAAAATTAAAGAAAATTAAAATTTAAGAAAATTAAAATAAATTATTTTTTAAATATCGCAAGAAGGAGAAAAGAAACGCCTACAAACACCTTCAATTGTTGCCAACCCCAACCATCTTTCGACCGGCCAAAGATGACTTTCTCGATAAAGTCTTTCATTTTTATGCTAAATTTAAACAACTTTTATTTATTCAAAATTTAATTTTTACCAAAGAAATTCGAATTCCTTCAATTTTCTGTCCATTTTGCCCATTAAAAATTTGAGAATTAAAAACAATTATATTTTTAGTTAGTGGATGGGAAAAAATAAAAGCACCTCTAAAATAAAAAATTAGTTTTTTTCAATTTTCAAAGTAATTCCTTACTCAATTTCTCGAACTTCAAATTTAACACCAATTTTTTGTGCCAAATTAAATAAATTATTTCTTTCATTGTAAAGTAAAAAAGGGTCGGTAATTCTTTGAAGGCAATCCTTTAAAAATAAAAAAAAAATTAAAAAAAAAAGAAAATTTTCAAAACTGTTGGGATTTCTTGTATTAAAGTACTGCAAGAATCTGCAGAATTAAGTCGAGGTATATTTAAAATTGAAGAATTTAATGTTGTTGAATGTCCATTATTTAATGAAGAGGAAGATAATTGACTTTTTAACTAAAAAATATTTTTAAATAAATTTATTTAATTAATTTACATTAAATAAAGTATTTATTGAATTCTCATTTTTGGATAAATTATTTAAATTAATATTTGTTGCCAAACTTTCAGAATCATTTCCTTCCTCATCCCAATTTCTTCTTCTTTCATTTAAATTCTAAATAAATAAATTTTAGGTAAATTAAAAATTAAATTTCCTCAACCTCATTTAATCCAATTGAAGACAAACTACAACTTTCTCCACCAAAATCATTTATTTTCTTTCTTCCAATTAATTGTGAATCTGTTGTAAATGTAAAGGAAGATAAACTACTTGGAATTGGTGATTGAAGATTTTTAACCTTTTTTAAAAATTATATGTATATTAATTAAAAATAATATCATTTTTACTTTATTTACTTTATTTTTATTTAAAAATCCATTTCTTTGAAAATTATTTAAAGGTCCATTACTATATTTTCCCATCAAAAAATCACCATAATCTTCATTTTGAGATACTTCCTCACTTTCTTGTTCAGACCAAGAATTAGTTTGATTTGTTAGACTAGTAATTTTTGATAAATTTGTTTTTGATTGTTTTTGCCTAAAAAATTAATTAAAAACAAAATTTGTTTATTTCACTTTTGTCCACGAGATATTAAATCCAAAAATCCCCCATCAACAACATTTTCACTAGCCATATGTTGAGAACGAATAAAATTTTTTAGTTGTTTTCTTTTATTATTTTCTTCTTTTTGTTTATTTAAATAATCTCTAGATAATCCAATATCGTCTTCACTTTCAATTACTTGAATATTTTCTTCAGAACTAGTAGAATAATTGTCAGTAAATGTTCCCCTACCAAACATAACCTTTTTAAAAACTTTAATATAAATTCATTCTAAAAAGAATTTTTCTCAATTTAAAATATTTAATTTTAAAGGTAAAAAATAAATTTTTTGATGGAAATTTAATAAGTTTATTTTGTAACAAAATGGAAAACTACATATTTAGTAATTCTGTTTTTATGTTCAAAAAATATTCATAAAATTTCTTTTAATATTCCAGAAAAAAGTTTTGTAAAAAAAGAATTACTTGAAAAAATAAAAATAATTTTTAATAATTTAAAGTAACTGGGTGTTCTCGAGATAAAGAAATATTCCCCGAGTTGGATATAAAAATATATATTTTTAAAGAAATTTGTCAATAGCATGTATTTATATCGGCGAAAAAATAAATGAAAGTATTTCTACCGGTTTCGCCTCTAAAGCACTTTTTTATTTTTAATTAAATAATAAAAGCTCAAAATTTAACTAAAAGTGCCTTCATAGAAGAATTACAAAATCAAAAATGTAGAAAATGAAAAAGTAAAGAAGCAGGTCCGCTAAATAAAAAAAAAGTAAAAATAAAAACTTGATAAAATGAAAAGGGAATGGAGAAATTAAAAAAATATGTAGAATAGGTAATTCCAAATAAATTGTTTTTGTGGTGATTAAAGTAGAGCAAAACCAGACCGAGCAAATAAACGGCGAAATTCATTCTGAAAATATTAAAATTTAAGTAATTAATAAAATTTATGCGGCCTTCAATGTTTTTAAAATGTTATTTTAAATTAGAAAATAATAACTTTTAACGAGTAATGGGATAAATTACGAATCGTGTCCAATTGAATAAACACAAATTTAAATATTTAACCTTTTTTGTAAGCAAAAATAATTTCTGGCAACTCTTTGGTACGTTCAGAAATTAATCCTTGAGGATTTTGTATTGGCTTATCAATTGGATGTTTGCAAATAAAATATTGATGATGCTGTCCAGAAGTAATTTTAATTGTACTCTTTCCACCAATTTCCAATTCAAATTCATGAAGTTTAAGTTCCGGACAGGCAATCAAAATTACATAATTTGCATCCTTCTTATTCTAAATTTTTATTTAAAAAATATATCAAAAGTTAAATTACAGTTTTTAATGCGTGCACAAACAAACGAGCAAAATTAGGATCACGAATTTCACAATACAACTTTCTTGGCCCTTTTTTAGCCTTTCCATGCAACCATCCAAATAATTTCTTTAAAAACATTTTTATTAAAAATATTTTAAACGAAGAAATATTTAAAACCTTCATTCCAATTGAACCAAAATCTAAAATAGAATTGGCACTTGTCAGCATAACATGAAGTTCAGGAATGCGATCCAAAGCTGAATTTTTAATTATTTTTAAAATTAATTTTAAATTTCATACCAGACAGTTCAAGAAGATTTAATTGCACAAATCCGATTTTTAACAATTCACATCCAGAAAGTAAAGCCGTAGTAAGAGATTTCATTTTGCCTATAGCTAAAATAATTAAATTTTTTGAAAATTCATATAAATTTTTTAAAATTATACTTTCTGCATCATTCAGCAGAACAGTCACAGAATTATAAATATTCGCTTTTTTAAAGAAAACTCCCATAGTCCCAACAAACATAGCCATGTCATTTCGGATTGGCTCAGAATGTTCAACTCTTCCAGTAATAATTAACCTCTTTAAAGAAGCAACAGTTCCGTCAGAAATATTCTTTAAAATATTTTAAAAATTAAACAAAAAATTTTAAAACCTTATAATTAAATTTTCCATCTTTTCCATCAACAATCCCCTCAATATCAATTTCCAATTGGCAACTTAAATAAAACAATACTTATCATTTTAATTACAAACTAACAGTGGAATCTTCTCTTCCTGTTTAGGCTGATAATTTTGTTTAGAAGGTCTTGGCTCGTAATCACGGCCGCCACCACCATAATCACCACCACTTCGCTTTCGATCGTTATATCCTAAAAATTATATTTAAATAAAAATAGAATATAAAATTAAAACCGTTATTATGATTTCCATTGTAACGACCTCCACCACCACCTCCCCCTCCCCCACCACCACCACCATAACCATTTCCGCGATTCCCTCCATCATAGTTATTACGACCTCCCCCGCCGCGATTATCGTTGTTATGCTGCGATGGACCACGTCGATCATAGCCTCCTCCACGTCCGCCTCCTCCATTCCTCTGGTCACGATAGCGGTTATTATCCATTAAAAGGTGAATATGACTGATTGTTATCTAAAAACATAAAATTACGGACAAATTCTACATAAACGAGGTCACAAAATTCATTGAAAAGAAAAAGGCTCCCATACAAAATCTCTATTCCTTAAAATCGCTATTCCTTAAAATCTCTACTAGGCTAAAAATGCTTAAAATCTCTATTCCTTAAAATAACTATTCCTTAAAATCTCTACTGGGGTAAAAATAATTAAAATCTCTACACCGCGCAAATGGACGGTTGAGTCTCAACAAAAGTGTACCATCTGAATCTTTCTCTGGAAAAACCAGACTTGTTAATGGATACGGGTACAATTAGTTTAAAAATGGCTGCCATATCCGCCTGTATCCGCCTTAAATATCGAAAATATAAGACACGACTGCTTCGCTGTGGTCGTGTTCATTTTCCTTGCGGTGATCGTATCGAAGCGGCTGCTGTCGTTCCGCTGGACATGCCTGGGTTCATCCGCAGCGTCAAAAACTATACAAGCAAAAGATAATCCAGAAATCAGATCAAAAGATAATCCAGAAATCAGAACAACGTTCCCGCACTTAACGTTGGCACTCAAAAGGCTTCTTAATAAAAATAGATATTTTGCCTATTTTTGAGCCTTGTAGAGATTTTAAGGCATTTTACTCGTGTAGAGATTATGAGGAATAGAGATTTTAAGGAATAGTTATTTTAATCATTTTTAGCCGAGTAGAGATTTTAGTGAATTTTAGCTGTGTAGAGATTATAAGGCATTTTAGCCCAGTAGAGATTTTAAGGAATAGAGATTTTGAGGGGATACGAAGAAAAATGCGTAAAAAAAGAAAAAAATAATTTAAAAAATTTACAATTTACATAATGCCAAAAAATAATTTATCATTATATCAAATCTCACTTGACCAAAATTAATTTGTAATTCTTTTAAAATTCCCTCTAAAGTTTATATTTGCATTAATAAATGGAGCAAAATAATTCTGGTGTTGAATCGGAAGTAAATGGTTCTAATGGAGCTGAATCTGACACAAATGTTCAATCTAGAAATATTTTTGATTTGAGTGGCGTTCCAAATACAGAGACGGTTTGAATTTAGATAAATTTAAAAAAAAGATATTTTTAAGTCAATTGATTTAAATCAAATGCGTGTTGACACAATTCCTGATTTGTCGCGTTTTAAGGATTTAGAGGTTTTTTTTGTTTTAAATTTTAAAAATTTATTTTTTTTTTAGTTTTTGGGTCTACGACAAAATTTACTTACTAATTTAAACACAAATATTTCTTTATTAATAAATCTCACTGAACTTGAATTATATGACAATCAATTAACAGAAATACAAGGAATTGAAAATTTAATTAATTTGGAAATTTTGGATTTAAGTTATAACAGAATTGGGAAAATAAAAGGTTTTTTTCTTTAAATATTTTAAACGAAATTATTTTTATAGGCCTTTCAACGCTTTCAAAGCTTCGTAAACTTTTTCTTATAAATAACAAAATTGAACAAATTGAAGGATTGGAAGGATTAATTTCCCTTAAATTATTAGAATTGGGAGATAATAAAATTAAAGAAATTTGTAATTTAAATCATTTAATTAATTTAGAAGAATTATTTTTGGGAAAAAATAAAATTAAAAAAATTGAAGGAATTGATTCTCTTGTTAAATTAAGAATACTTAGTTTACCTGTAAGTTTTGGTTTTTTTAATTTTTAAAAATTCTTTTAATTTTTAGGCAAATCGTTTAACAAAATTGGAAAGTTTAGAAAATTTGGTAGAATTGGAAGAATTACATATAAATGACCAAGGAATTGAATCTTTAAATGGAATTGAAAATCAGGTTTTTGTTTTTTAATTAAAAAAAGAAACAATTTTACATAAAAAAGGTTAAATTGCAATTACTTGATGCTGCTGCAAATTCTATTTCTTCCTTGGATAATTTGGGACATTTACAAAAACTTGAAGATATTTGGGTAAAATAATAATTAAAATTAAAAGTTTTTTTAAAGTTAAATAATAACAAAATTTCTTCTTGGTTTGAAGTCGATAAATTATCTAAATTAGAATCTCTTAAAACAGTTTATTTGGAACATAATCCAATATATAATGAAGGGTGTGCTAATTATAGAAGAAAGGCAATATTAGCACTTCCACAAATACGGCAATTGGATGCTACATTTTGTAGATGAATTAATTAAAAGAAAAATAAATTTTAAAATATTATTTTTTGTATTTGAAATTTTCTGAAAAAATTTTTAAAAAATATTTTTTTGGTTGTTTTACTTGTTTCAAACAAATTTTTTAGAAATTATTTGAATAGCTTCGATAAGTTTTTAATATTTTTTTAAATTTTTATAATGATGCCTTCAACATCAGATGAATCGAAAGAAAATAGCAATCCAAATAATGAACAACAAATAAATAAATATGCTCCAAGACAACCAGTTAATAATTATATTTTAATTAAAAATTAATTATTAAATTTTAAGTGGAGCGATTATTTTATTTGGTTACAAGAAAATATGCAAAAATTTATTGATAAATATGGAAAAATGTAATTTTATTTTTTTTAAAAGAAACAATTTTTAGAGATTATCTTCGACATGCAATTGCTGAATGGCAAAATATGCCCGTTAAAGAAAAATTAATTTGGATAAAAAAATCAGAAAAAGACAAGAGAAGATATCAACGTGAAGTTGTTGAATATTACAAATTAAAATATCAAAATGTGGAAGAACATTTTGAATAGAAAATATTTAAATATTTTTCTCTTAAAGATTTCTTTTTGAATTTTAAAAATTAAATAAAAAGTTGTCTCGTTTGTTTAATTTAAAGTAGCGTAAGGGGGTAGAAAATATTTTTGTTAACTAAAATTCAGAAATCACTTTAAATAAATTTATTTTTGTTTAAATAAAAACATGTCAATTATTATAACATCACAGTTATTATGCTTGTAACTGTTTAAATTGGTCATTAAAATAAAAAAAATGGCTTGCGGACCCCAAGGAATGAGTCTGTTTGAAATTTAAGAAAAATTATGGAAACAAAGCATTTTAGAGGAACCAAGTCTTTAAATAAAGATAAATGCAAAAAATATATAAACATCCAATAGCTAACCCCCTCAAAAAGTTAGAACGTTCTTCAAAATAAAATCTTTTCTTTTCAATTTTCCTTCTTAACAACTCCATTTGCAACATTTGATTTACTAAAACGCCATTCATCAATATTTAATTGATTTGTTTGTAAAGACCACCCTTGGGCAGTCATTGACTCTCTAAATTGGCAAATTTCTTCTTCAGTTGGCCAACTTTAAAATTAAAAAAAATTCTTTTTTTTTTAATTTTCAAAAAAAACCTTTTTGTTAATCCAAAATATTCTAAAGAAAAAAGAGAATTAAACATATCCTCTTGTGTAGCCCCATCAACGGCAACCATCCAACCAATTTTTTCAATTTTGTCAACAACACAAAGTAATTTCCCCGTCCATTTCCAACAAATATTTTCTTTTTCTTCAATTTCTTTACTTAAAAATTCCAAAACACTGATATTTTTTGGTAAAGAAGATAATGGACATCCAAGATTTAAATGACAATAACTTTTAATTAATGGAACTAAAATTGGTTCTTTTGCATTACAATATTGAACTGAAGGTGCTTTGCCGTTATTTAAATAATGTCTAAAAGAAAAGAAAATTTTTTTTGATTAAAATTGAAAAATTTGTATGTGGGTAATAAATAATGGTACTTATCGGTTATACGCCCACAAACTGAGTGCCATACGACATTAATTGGCTATAACTTTTTTGAGTTTGATCCAATTCAAATATATTTTGTATTAATCGAAAGCCCTCAATAAGCTGTACACTCTGTCAGAAAATGATAAGCACCCCTTAGTTTTTACGTAAAAAACTTATTTTCGTTTAAGGTAAAGTAATTTTAATTTTTTTTTGTAAATTTTTAATTCATATTCGAAAGAAAAAACATCAGATATAAATTATTTATGGGTAGAAGGGGGTTATAACTGGTATTTCCTAAAAAACGAGTGTCAGATAATTATAAGCATCCTTAAGGTTTTGACATTAGGGGTCGTTCGAAAAATCTACAAAAATTCATATGAACATACTTAGTGATGTGAATCGAAAATACAAAAGAAACTAAGTTCTAACATAACCCTGACATCGAGATCCAAAAACCCAAAAATCGGCGGAAAACTGGAGGTAGACGTCTTTAAAAATCGTTTTTTACACCTTACAGGTGAAATAAAAATTTTATTTTGGGCTTATTTGAAAGCCCTTGAAATTTGCTACAAGATAGAATTAATCTTATTTTTCGAAAAAAATTCTTCTTTGAGAAATAAAGAGTTTAGTTTATAAGCTACATTTTTGTCACTTTTTGGGGGGCGTTTGAGTGATTTCTATGACCTGAAAGTTTATCAAATTATCTCTTACAGGTGAATTTTTTTCGAAAAATAAGATTAATTCTATCTTGTAGCAAATTTCAAGGGCTTTCAAATAAGCCCAGAATAAAATTTTTATTTCACCTGTAAGGGGTCGAAAATATTTTTTAAAGACGTCTACCCCCAGTTTTCCGTTGATTTTTGGGTTTTTGGATCTCGATGTCAGGGTTATGTTAGAACTTAGTTTCTTTTGTATTTTCGATTCACATCACTAAGTATGTTCATATGAATTTTTGTAGATTTTTCGAACGACCCCTAATGTCAAAACCTTAAGGGTGCTTATAATTATCTGACAGTCGTTTTAACGAAATTTCATTCATTTTCTCTACTATCCATATTTATTTTATCAATGATTGTTTTTTTCTGTTCAATATGTATCAGAAAACTCTAAAAATATTTATAACTATGATATGTTAACTTTAACTATGTTTTTATTCAAAAACTAGGGGGTGCTTATAATTTTCTGACAGAGTGTACCTTATTTAATAGGATAGATAAAGTCTGATCGCTCATTAAAAAGTTATAACATTTTAACGAGTGATCAGACTTGATCCATTAAGTTGGAGAAAAGATTCTTCTTATGGAGGGCTTTTGAATGATATGATTTATTTGAATTGGATCAGGCATCAAAAAAAGCCGGTCAAATACGGCTGGCACTCAGTTTGTGGGCGTATAACCGATAAGTACCTAAATAATTATAAGGGGAAATTAAAAAAATATTTTTTTTGCTGCTCTATAATTACCTAACAGAAATATGAAATCTTGCTTGATTTAAAGTATCAAATTCTAATGATTTTGCTGCTCTATAATTCGAATATAAATGTACATAAGTAAAAGAAAAATAAAAAAGCCAAATAAGTAATGCATTTCCTTCAACTGTTGGCAATAACATTAAAGAACATAACAAAGAAAAAACATTAACTAAAGTTTCTTGACTTCCATCTTTTGCTGCAACATCTGCTAAATTATCTCTACGAGCCTTTAAAAAAATTCAAATTTTTTAATTTTTATTTTTATATTTACTTGATGTCTTATAACAGCCATTCTAGTTGTTCGACCAGAAACATCAACAATTGCTCTAAAAAAGAATGAATAATCTCCCTTATTTTTTTAATTCTCAAACCTAACAAAAGCAGCAAAACAAGCTAATGGAGCAAAAAACAGTCTCGGTAAATAAACAGCAAATAATTCAACCATAAAAGAAAAATCATTTAAAAAATCAGCAATTAATCTCCATTGTTTATTATCTTTTTTAAAAAATATTTTTTCTTTTAAAAGAATTTTTTAGAAAAAACCAGAATCTAATTTAGAACCACGTGCCCAAGCAAAAACAATTCTTGCAATCATTCCAACTCCATCTTTCAATAACCAAGTTAAAGCTGCAGCCAAAACTGTTGCTTGTTCATTTCCGACTCCAGCACCTTTTAAAACTGCTAAAGTGGCTAAAGCGCCGTTTTGAGAACTTGCAAAGGCCTAAGAATAAATAGAAAAAAAATTTCTAATTGTAAGAAGTTTATAAAAAATGCAAGACCAAGAAAAAAAACATTTGACAGAGAAGGACACGGAGCGATGGGTTTAATAGAAATTAATTAAAATGTCCCCTCATCTCCTCATCACCATTTAATTTTCAATATTTTTACCTGTAAAGTATCCCATTTCTGATATTCCAAATAATCAGAACTAACAGTTTGTGGATATCCTTGAGGCATAAAAATTTCAGCAAAAAGTGCTCTAGCATTGTGAATATGTTGTCGGAGGGGTCTTTTAATTATATTAGAAGACTAAAAATTAATTTAAAAATTTATTTAATTAATTTTTACTTTTCTGTCTTTTATCATATATTCATGAACAGCTTCCCCACTATAGGCTTCTTCAATTAATAAAGGTTCATTATCTTCATCAAGATTATTCTTTTTTGGTGCAAACATTTTTTACTAAAAAAACACAAATAATTTTTGTTTAATTTTTTAGAATAAACAAAATCAATCCAAAATATTTATTATGTTTTTCTTTCTGCTCTTTCCAATTTCCTTATGGTTTCTTTTACAAAATAATTTATTTCTCTACAAATATTTCTTTTACCCTCTTTAAACAACTAAAGATATATCGCAGATATTTAAAGCTATAGCGCGTCACAGCCTCGGGCATCCGATTAAACAAATAAATATTATATTACATAAAATCTTTAGCCTATCTCAGATTATTTATTTTTCCAAATCTTTCTTTTAAATTAAAAAACCTCCTCTCAATCTTTCAATCTTTTCTTTCAATAAATTCTTCCAAAAAAGAATAATTTTCCTAAAAAAACTTTTTCCCTCCATTTTCTCTTTTTTTGCTAAATTTTTCTATTTATTTTTTATTTATCAATAGGTAATAATGAGAAAAGATTTTGGAAAATAGTAATATTTAGCTCCTGAAATAGCCAGTTGGCAACTAAAAAAAGAAAAGTCAGTAAGTAAATGCCAATTCTTTCTTTTATTTTTTCCCTTGTCTGTTTACTCAACCAAAAAATATGTAAAGCGAATAGTTAGCTAATTATTAATTCTTTTTTCCTTTTCTCTTTTCTAATGCCACAAAAAAGTAAAAAAAGAATGTGTTTTTGACATTTAACAGTTGTTGAAAATATATGTAGACAATCCTTCAACATCAAAAATTTTTAACTTTTTTTTAATAAAAAGAAAGAGTTCATTTAAAATAAATTGATTATTATGATTTTCTTTTTTTTTTAAATAAAAAAGAAGGAAAGTAAATTTTATTTATTTGAACAGCGTTAAACTTATTCAAATTTAATAATTTAGTACATATAATGGTTAATGTAAATGCCAGTAAATTACTTTTTGCTACAGCTTCGATAGATGCAGATGAAGCAGAAAAACAACGTCGATTATTTATACTTGGATTAATGATATTATTTGGATGGATGTTAGTTATTGTTTTTTGTGTTTATCCACAGGTAATTGTTAAAATAAAAACAGAAATAGAAAAGTACAAAATAAAATTTGAAAATGTTTACTGAATTAACATATCACGGAGAAAATTCCCTTTAAGGATATCTAATTCAGATTGTAAACCACCGAAATATTATCAATTATAACGATGTTTTTACTAATTATTTTTAAATTAAAGTTATTTTCTGATTTATTTACTCGATATTTGTGTTGCTGTTTTACAAGATTATCGGGTAAAAAACAACAAGGATTAGAAGAATTGGCAGCTTTGAAGCGAGAACAAGAACGTGTTCGAACATCAAACCGAACATTCATTGGGCTTTCATTGGCAACCACAAGCCCTTCAAATATTTTGCTCAAACAGGTATTTTAAATAATTAAAAATAAAAAATGTGGGGAAAATTGTTTAGAAAGTTAGAATATTTTATGGGGAAAATCTGCGATTACATATTTTTAGACATAAATTGAACCTAAATAAACATGGGCATTTACTAAATGTCTTAATTATGAAAAAATAGCTAAAAGAGTGTTATGAAAGATTAAATATTTAATGTTAAAAATCAAGCAAAATTAAGGTTGGATTCGATGGAAATATGGTTGAATATGATACACAAAGGAAACAATTTGTTTCTGCCAGTATAGCAATTCCAGAGTCAATTTTAGAAATCGAGGTGAATTTAATTAATAAAAATTATTTAAGAAAAAATTTAAAAATAAAGGATATTGATTATAAAGAAAGTGAAGAAGAGGAGGAAGATAAAATAGAAAGAAGTAAAAGGGAATCACAAAAATCAAAAAAATCTAACAAGAAATTACATTTAAAAGATGCTCAATAATTTTTTTGTTCAAAATACTTTTAATTGATCTCACTTAAAGAACTTATAAAAAATAACTTTTTAAAACTATTTTAATCAAATAATCTGATCCCTTGTTTTTACAATGAGACGTTCTCTATGAACCTCTCATTACCAGAAATACTACTTAACCACTAAATTTGTTAAATATTAAAAAAACCTACAAAACGTCAACCAATTTTTGATTGAGTGTGCAATTCAATAGCAACCAACCCGTAAATAAATAACAAAAATCCAAGTTTAAAGAAATTATCTAAAAATATTACATATCAAAATTATATTATTTGAAAATATTTAAAAACAATATATGCAATATTCTACATATAATCTTTACAAAATATCCCAGGCTTTTCAACGTTTAATGAATAATAGAACAAACAATTTAAAAAAAATATTGTGTAAAATATGAATAATGATCTTTGAGAAAATAACAACTTTTATTAAATTTAAGTACTCATTTATATAAAATTTAGTTTCAAGTGATACATTTTCATTATACAGTAGAACGTAAACCAGTTTTATAACCACAAATATGGAGCAAAAAACCCATCACCCTTCGTCAATGAGAGACTGAAAAGATAATAAAAAACGCAAAATGGCGGGAGTAATAAACTACTAGAATGGCTTGACGAGAGAAACTTCGCCTCATTAAATGGCAGACCTCTGAGACTATTTTAATAAATAGAAAAAAAATGTAAAATAAAGAATTTGTTAATGAATATTGTCAATTAATAATAGGCGTTTATAAAAAAATTTGGGGCATATATGTGGGAGATGATCACACTAAATAGGTGGGAAAAATAATAATTAATTGATGGTTGGTTAAATTAAATTTAAACTAAAATATATTTTGGATGGATAGAGGAGTATTTTAACGCTGCTAAAAATTCTTAACAAAAAATAAAAGTAAATTTAGATGTTCAAAAATTAATTGTTTTGAAATTATTAACAATTTTTAGCGGCAATACTTAAAATATTTAAATATTTAATATATATTTAGGTCAGAATTTGGGAGAAATAAATAATAAAATTAAATTTTAAAAAATATTCTAAAGGGTAAATCAAAGATATTAAACGTCATTTTTCACCTTCTAAATTATTTAAATTAAATTTACTTTTCCAATTTCTTATTGATGTCGTCGCAATTCTCTTGTCAATTTTTCCTCAGCTAATCTCACTGCTTGTGGAATTCGTTGATCTGTTTTTGATTTATAACATCCAAGGAGTTTCTCACAATGTTCGTCACCACGTGAAATACCATCCATCTAAAGAATATTTTTTAAGGGAGAAAACATGTACATTGACGGGAATAGTGAACTTTAATTATTCCCAATTTTTTTTGAAAATTTTAATTCAACTTCGAATTATTAATTCAAAAAGAATTTACCTTCTTTAAAAGATCATAAATAATTTCATCACTGACGTAAGAATTATGCTTATAATCTGAATGATTTTGCACAAAAGATCGCATCCAACTAGCTGTAGTCATAATTTCTCCTTTTGCTCGTTTTTGTATAAACGATAAATATTGATTGATTGTACAACGTGTATCAACATCAACATCAGCTCCATCAAGAAATTGTCTAATTAAAGGTGCAAGTCCAGAGAATTGACTATTTCCTTAAAAATATTTTTTAAGTTTAAAAACAATATTTAAAACCGTTAACAATTTCATCTATTGTCATTTCTGTAGTATTATAGTCAGGTTCTGGTTCAGCTGGCGGCTGTCCTTCTGTACATGGCTTACCTTCAGGCGTATGTTGGCAGTTGGCCATTTTTGAGCGAAACTACAAAAACAAAGTTTTTTTAAACAAAATTTAAGCTTTACATGAAACTTTTCAGTCAAAATAGCATTTCTTCTCTTAAATTTAAATTAGAAAAATATTTATTTAAAATAGTTAACTGTTGCTCGTTTCATATTTTCCGAAACAAGAGAGATTCGAATAAGAAAAGTAAGTCGATAAGAAACAATTACTCTGAAAAATAATAAATAAAATATTTTTTAAATAATAACCTTGTTAGTAAAACTAAAAAACAACAATATGCAGCATTTTCAAAATTTGTCAATTGAACCTGAAAATGAAACAGAAAAATTAATAAAAAGAATTTTTTTACCTCTGTTGGACGAAACTCAACACGCCATCCAATTTCTGGCGCGTCAGGAGGAGGTGGCTTGAATCGCATATTCATCCAATTAGAGGATTGGATTGTTTCAAAATGTTCAGTAGATCTCTGGTCATCTTGTTCAATACGTTCTTTAAAAACCTGATAAGAAAAATAAATTTGTTGATATTGTAAGCTCTCGCTCATTATTAAAAAACCTGTAGAGGATCACGAATAAACATATGAGCAAAATGTCTTGCCAAATATTCATCAACCCCACCATCAACTAATTGTTGATAATGTTTTTGTTGATATTGTAATGGTAAATCATTATAAGGCGCAGAACATGGATAAATATAGCAATCAGTACTGTCATATCTGCTCTTTGGAATATTTTTGAATAAACTATATCCATCAGGAGCTGTTCCAGTCGAATCAAGTTCTGATGGTTCTTTTCCACGTTCAAAATTTGTTCGATCATCAACAGAAGCAGAAATTATATCCCAACGAGAATCAAGGTCAGAAAGATAAGAACGAAAAATAGGAGTAGCTAAAAAAGGAACAATAAAAATTGAATTAAGAAAATACCGGCACTCAACGCAACCATAACTGGAGTAATAATTGTGAGTTGGTCATAAAGCCAACGAGCTTCTTGAACATTTACCGCCTGAAAAGTCATTTGTAAACAACAAAGTCCCATTCCAAATCCCATATGGTCCATATAAATGTGATCAGGAAGAGCAGCACGAGCAGCTTCCGGATCGGTAAACTTTTCCTTAAAAGATAACAAAATTAGAGTAAAATACTTTTTCTTACAATAAAAGGTTTTGGAGTATTCGTATCGCGGAAGATTGGAACATTAATTGCGACCTTTTCTCCACGTCTTGCACGAATGTTTCTCACCAAATTACGAAATCTAAAAACATTAAATAAAGAAATAAAGCGTTAAAGACCTTGGGTGACCCTGATAAATTCCTTCATCAGGAAAAAATATAGAACGTCCCGCACAATTAACATCCTCAGGTGTTGGTATTGCAGGTGGATCAGTAAAGTCAAGAACACCGAGTGATGGAAAGCTAATTGAAAGAAGAGACTCGTTAGGCAAAAGAAGGGAGGAAGCCAAAACTTGTCGCATTTGCATATTTGACTCGACAACATTAAAACAAGACATTAAACCTAAAATATAAAATATTTATTTAAGAAAGTATAAACCTCCATAGGGAGTGCCAGGCGTCCCCTCTATCATATAAGAAGCAAATTCAGGTCTCCATAGAGAACGATTCTCCTCGCCCAAAGAATTATTGACCTCTTCACTTGCAAAAAGTTGGTCTAACAAGTCGAGAGCACGTAAAGAGACGCGAACCTAAATTTCGCCGTTTAAAATAGAAAATAATTGCAAAAACTTTTTTGTGTTCATGGTCAAACTTAATAATTGTGTATTCAATCTCATCGCCCCAACGAAGTTGGTCCCGCTCACGGCTCTTAACACGATGGTAGAGAGCAACAAATTGCGCAATTCCATGTAACTAAATTATTTTAATAACAAATTGTCTTGGAAAGCTTAACCTCTTAAACAAACATCGAAAACTGGTTTAAGCCAGTCTCGAATGTAAAATAAATAAAAACCTTTATATATTCCAAATGTGGAACAATTTCCTGCCAACTCAAAGGTGTCCCTTTAGTTAAAAGCCCCATTACTGATATGGAGCGAGACCTTTAAAAATTTAATAAAAAATTTAGTTTAGAAATTAAGACAGAATAAAATGCGAACAACGCAACAAAAAATAAATTAATGTATCTATTCTATTTAACAACTAATTTAACAACCATATTTAACAAAATAAAAGTAGAAAGCTATATCTTTTAAAAATAACAATTAATTAACAAAATAATGTAAGGAAAGCTTTCAAATAATCAAAAAATAATAAAACATTTTTTGAAAATAATAACCACAATCAAAGCAAGCTTATAAGGATCTCTAACAATAATTTTAATTACATATATCTATCAAAAATAAAGTTCTGCTTAAATTTTTTAAATAAATATTATTGAGGAAATATTATAAAACAAAACTCAATATTATAAAATTCTTTACAGATTTATTTGCCAAAACGTCGATGCCTTTGTGAATATTTCCCAATGAGATCACAAAATTCGGTTTCAGTTAATTTATTATAATTTGAGAAGGAATCGACAGAATGAAATTCACTTAAAAACATTAGTTAGAAAATTACAATTAATTAATTAACCTTGTCCGTAAACTCCAGAGCGGAAAATCTCCAAATCCAACATGCAAAGAAGAGCCAACAAAAACAAAATAATCTGGTTCTTTTAACCCTGACAATTCAAAAAGATAATCAAAGAAGATGCTCTCCTTCATTAGTTCATCCAATTCTGAGAACTTTTAATTTTTTTTATTACAAAATATTTTAATTAAAAATTACCTTGGTAACAATTTGGTTGAGAATATTTTTAGATTTTTCAGCACCAATATAAACAACATTTAAATTGAACTTTTCTGACAACCACAATTTATTTGACATAAATTTCACTCCTTTACAGGAAAGTAATTCAATAATTTGAACTTCAATTTTTTTGCATTCATCCTCAACATCAAACAAACATCCACAAAAAGAAATTTCATTAATACCATTTAAAAGACATAAATACAAGAGTGATGAAATAAAATACTTAAAATATATTATATAAATTAAAACAAAAATAAATTTACCGGGTTAATATAACGATAATCTGCAAAAAGAAAAGAAATATTTTGTGGAACTTTTTGTAAAACATTTGCAGAATTTCTCCATAAATATTGTTTAAAACTTTTAATAAATTGTTTGGTTAAGCAGAAAAGTTTCCAACAAACAAATAAAAATAAGCTAAAATTGTAAATATTTATTTATTTACACCACTAGGGTGTGACAGTCAAAAATAAAACAATTTGAAGTGAAATAGTGAAAAATAAAAATGCAAATTAAAAAAATGTCCTTAAAAATAAAAATCAAAGCAGCTTAATAAATTATATCATTTGTCATTTAAAAAGTTGGAAATATCCAACTGTGCAAGAAGTTTAGAAAACATTTTGGGTGTGTTTTTTTTAATAAAAAAATTAATAAAAACATACATATACAAAAAGGCAAGAAATCGATAGACTTTTGAACAATAAAATTTTCCCGTCTCCTTAAGTAGTTCATTCTTCAAATATGAATAAAAATAACTAAATTCCATTCTAATAAGTATTATTTAATAATCTAAAAATTTATTAGTCAGTAAAATACCGTATTTATTCTAATAGAGTGGCCGCCACTCTATTTTTCGATACCCCCAAAAAGGGGCCATTCTATTGGAGGGGCCATTCTAATGGAGGTGGCCATTCTATTTTTCATAGGTAAAAATCAGAGATAGGATGAATCAAATGTTCGATCGAATATTTTTTGACTTCGAAATTTAATCGATTTTTCGTGTAAAATTCTATATTTTCGACTTTGGTTAGTGAATCTTTTTTTTTTGGTTAGTGAATCTTTCCTTATATGTCAAATTAATAAATATCTATTAATTCTCTTAATCCCATGCATCTTCATTAAATCGTTGTAATTTCTTGATATCCCTCCTAATCCTCTCAAATCCCCTAATATCCCTCTTAATCTCCCTTTTATGACTCCAGATTTGCTCGAAAATATTATGATTATCCTTACTAAAGAGTAATATTTAATACATAATAGGAAAATAAAGAAATGTATTCAGGCATATACTTATTAGTTAAAAGGGCCATTCTATTAGAGGGCCATTCTAATGGAGGTGGCCATTCTATTTTTCATTACCCCCAAAAAAGGGCCATTCTATTGGAGGGGCCATTCTAATGGAGGGGCCATTTTATTAGAATAAATACGGTAATTCAGAAAAGTAGTTACTATTAAAATTAAAACATTCATTTTTTCACTAAACACAAACACGAGACACAGATAATTTATTTTTCCTTTTCATTTTAGTATAAACATAGTATAGATTTTATTATTATACCAATGTTCGATCTTTAAAGTTCCATTTTTATTATCAACTTGAAATTGTCGCGCTATTTTAAATACTACTACTAATGTAAATATCATCAAAAAAGGGCAAACATTTATGTAGCAAATCATCAATTTGCATTAAGGACCAAAAAATATATGTCGTGTTAAATTTGGCTACAAAATTAAATCTAGTTAAATTTAACTCCATTAATGCCTTAATTCATCATCATTGTTAATACGAATTTTAAGTTTAATTATTAAATAATTTAATTTTTCAAAAATGAGAAAGTTGAAACATTTGATCCATTTAATTTCTAACTAGAATTTTTAAATATTTTTTCACGAAAAGATTCTCTGCTGTAACAATTATCAATAACATAAGCCTTCTTGAGCAATACATCATTTTCCGAGACCAAAGAATGTTTTATTTTTTCATAAACAAGTAACCGCCTAATATAGTAATGTAATTTTGTGAATATAATAATTTTTCCATATTCTTACCTTGCTGTATTCGTTTGTAACGGTTGTTCACAATTGTAGACCAATCGTAGGCAGTCGGATCTGGGCAAAATTTTCTCTGAATACCTATTTAAATTTTCAGATAACAGTCAAACTAAAATTTAAATTACTCTGATCTACACACTGGAAACCAAAAGGCCAACCGACCACCAATACGTAATAATCGAACACCTAAATCCATAAGATCCAAAAATACTGAAGAAATTTGATATTGTTGTTTTTCTGGATAATTTCTGTGTTGTTGCTTTTGCTGATTTTCTTGGCTATTAAATAAAGTATAAATAAAAAAATAATCAGCTAACCAATTTTTGTCTTCCATTTGTTTTATTTCTGTTTCCATTTTTCTTTTCCACTGTCTAACACCCAATTTTTGTCCACGCTCCCTAATTCCGTATGGAGCTAAATATATTTTATAAAATAAATATCTTATAAAATTGTCACGATCTGCAAGAATAGCATCAAAAAACCCAAAATGTCGCCACATTTTATGTTTTGACGAATCGGCTAAGATAACACCCAAATAACGGCCATCATTCAAACCATATTGTGAAAAATTTGCTTTTACTGATTGCCCGCTTCCAAGAAAACCCTCTCCAACTCTTGATGATTTTCCCTTTTAAATAAAAGACAGTTAAAAATAAAAATGTTAAACCTTTGCTTTGGCTACATCCCATTTAATCTCCACTCCAAGCACATGAGAACAGAAATAAGCTGCTGATAATAAAATACCGCCTATTAAAAAGTAAATTAATCCTTAAGAATATTTTTATCTAAATTTACCAGTCCCGCAAAATGGATCGATCAGAAGACTCCCCGGACTAGACAAAACTAAATTTGCTTGTATGAAAGCAAGTTCAGGATCCATAGTAGAATTTCCAATGTAATTTCTTGACATAAGCGCGAACTTATTTTTCAAACCAGTCTGGCCTACGCCAACCAAAAAATAAAATAAGATAATCAAAATTTAAACTTTTAAGCTTACAAATTTTGTAAAAAGAATTCGATCAGATTTCTGATTTACTTCATCATTATAATTAATGCCAATTTCGAAAATAGTGAAGATATTATGGGCATTTTTCAAATCGATGGGCGCCTGAGTTAGACCCATGAAAGAGCCATAACGCTGAAACTCTAGTTTTTTGTTATCAATGCATAAAATAGTTCCAATACAGGCCTAATATAAAATTTACCTGGATCAAAGACTGGGTGTAGACGACGTCGCTTTTTCGCAAATGTGAACGAACTTGGAGACACCATGACTGCGCTGGATCATTAAAAGGCTGAAAAAGTTTTTATTTACCAAATAATAAAACCTGTAAAATATTAGATTTACTCAATTGTTCAAGGACAATATCATGAGAAGAAGCGTTTATGAGAATACGGAAGGCAGATTTAATCAGAACTGAACGACCAAGTATACACCGAACAGCAGCATCACCACCATCAAAGTGAAGGAGTTGATAATGCGACTCAAATTATACTTTAGAAAAATAAGATTATTTGTTTACCTCGTCCGGGGTAAAATTAGGCACTGGCTGAATCCCAAAAAGCAAACATACACTTTCAAACTCTGCTCGTCTAAATTGTGGATGAGCCTGACTGAAAACAAATAAAAAAATATTTTCACAGGAAGTTTTATCCATAAATCTAAAAAATTATTTTAAATTATACTGGTTATTAAATATAACTAACAAACAAATAGTTTAGGAAAAAACGATTCTTTATAAAAAAAATTTAAAAATTTTAAAATTTAATTATAGTACAAAATTTTACACAAAGACTAAATCAATATCGTTTTTTGACAAGCACTCTTCCGCTCTCAAGATCCTCCTTAGTCGCGGTCACAGTTCTAGTATCACCAGGAATACTCGAACGAAATTGTACAGTCAACTCATTAACTTGCATAACTAAAGCTTGCATTGACTTCCAACCGGTATTTGATGATTCTATAAAAATAAAAATTCAAAATCTGATTTGAAATTTAATCTCATAAAACTTACTTATGAAAACGTTTTGCCCTCGATGATAAGTTTTCCCATCTAGACTGAGTTTCCCAAATTCTAAGACAACTTTTCGAGGATGCCTCTTTAACCGGGAGTTCTCATGATCTAGTCGCCTATGTTGTATTTCATCTGCATTTGTCGTTGCATCAGACCCTAGCACATTTCTCATTTCTGTTGACCCTAATCTTTGTTCATCGAAATTGTCCAAATTATTACAAGTGGCTAATTCTGTACCAATTAACGGTGACGCGCCATTGATGACAGAACTCTTTGAAGAAGACCAACTGGATGAGGATGGATTCCGATCGATTGTTAACGGGCAAAGCCTGGAAAAAGTTTTTAAATAAAAATTCCTTTTTTACTTTTCCACGTCTTCAGCAATTGATTGGGCAGATAAGAGAGATTGTGTTATAAGCGGACAAATATGTGCAGCACCCGGAGATCTTTTCCTACCCTTCTTTTCAGAGAAAACAGAAGCACTGACGCTGCTCTCAGCTGCGACTGAAGAAACGTTTACTGAACAGTTACCTACTTCGTTAGGCCGTCTAAAATTAAACCGGTCATTTAAAATAAATTATGGGCGTTAACCTCCTTAGCTGTTTCTTGCCAAGTATCCCTTGTGAAGTTATTTGTTGAGCATTCATCCAAAGGTTACTACTTTGTCCTGCATGAGCTGACCAATTTGAATCTGAACTGCCAAAACTGCCATCCCATCGAGAAATATCCAAAGAGGAAATATCAGAATCTAACTGGCGCTTCTTCTCTTCAAGTTCTAGCCAAAGATTTTCGACAACTTCGCTTACACGCTAAAAAATTAAATCTAAAAAAGCTAAAATAATAAAACAAACATTTTCATATTCCTTTTCAAGTAAATCAACTTCATGTTTATATGTATTTTCAGCACGAGCAACCTCTCTCTAAAATGTAAAATAAAATTTATTTAAAAAAAATTAAAACATTTCTAATATCTGCAATCCTTTCCAGCTTTTGGTCACATAATTCTCTACACTGAGAAATTCCGTCAACAAACTGTGAATGCAATCCTGACTCAAGCAATTGTTTTTCATATTCCCAAGGGTTGCGCTTTGATGTGGCCAAACTAGAAAATATATTTAAAGAAAACTACATTTAAAATTTCAAAACATACGAATCCAAGAGCTTCCAGCGTTTTATAGATGTCTCGTAGTCAGCCGACATTTTTCCGCTAATTGACAAAAAATTTGTCATAAATTTATGTATTACTATGATAAAGTTTAAATTTTACACTTTAAAATACTTGATATTTCTAACAATAAAAATTTAAAAATAGGTAATTAAAATTTACTATTTATTACGGTTTATTTTTACATACAACAAAATATACAGACAAATTCCCCATTATTATTTGATATCTTTTTACAAATCATTTATTCTCTTAATTGGTCATATTAGCTTCGGTTGTTGATTCAGATACTTCACTTTTCATACTGATAGTCATACCACTTTCGATCTCAGAGTCCAAAATAATTGGCTGCATAATACTTATTTTTTCAGTCCTATAATTGAATAAATTAACTAAATACTTGAGAAAATTTATATTTAAAAAAAACTCACTCGCTTCTCTCGTTTCGAGATCTTCGTATGCTTTCAGAGCTTGAATCGCTGTCTTGCTTTTCATCCTTCTCAATCTTCTGTTCCTTCTTTTGATCTTTGTCTTTGTTCTCCGCCTCTTTAGAGGTTTCTACATCCTTTTTCAGCTCCTTTCCTTTTGTAACCCCCGACTTCTTATCCTTTTCTTTCTTCTCATCCTTGCTCTTCTCTTCCTTCAGAACGGCGTTTATTTTAGCCTCCAGAAGCTTGAATACCCTCTGTTTTTCACGTTTGTTCTCTTCGACCGAATGCTTAAATAAAACTTTATTTCAAATTGTAATGCAAGAATTCTCACCCTAACACGACTTTGTTTATCGATAGACCCAATTTTTACTTCCTCATTGTCCTTTATTTTTGCTGTTTTCGTAGCTTCTGGCAGAGAATTAGGACGGGGTCGTCCATTTTTTGACGGCCCAACTTCTTTTTCCGGTGACAGTTTCGGGACTTTCGATGGCAGTAGTTCTCTCTTTGATACTGATTTGCGGCTCTTCTGTGATTCTCTTTTCGAAATCTCTGCAAGCTGATCAGATGGTGATTCATCCTGTGACGACCAAAGGGATGCAGTTTTTGTATTATCCTCCTGAGTCTCTAAAAAAAGTTGTCATGAAAATATTTTTTGAGTTTTGTTTTGTTACTTTGTACTGGGAGTTTTTTGCTATCGCTGTGACGCTTCTTGTTCACATCCATCTTTTTGAATATGTCGCGGTCTATGTTCCCAAGTGTCATATAGTCATTCTTCTTAGCGTGTCCAGGACGGACCTTTTCAGTTATGCGCGGAGATGGTGTCTTAGATTTTGATGGCGTCCTGCCTTCTGAAAATATAAGGAGTGAAAAATTACAATACTAGATACATACTTTTCTGTCCGGAATGACGTGGCGCCTTCACCTTCTAAATGATTAGCAAATAAATTTGAAAAATAATAGCAAAATTACCTTCTTCCGGCAACAACCACAACATCCACCCGACTTCTGTTTAGGTGCGGCTTTTCTCCCTTTATGTTTCTTTCCGCGTTTCTTTCCACAATATATCGCCACAAGAGAAGTGAAACTACAAAACAGAAGTATTGAAGGAAAAACCAAAGAGAAAGAGCCATCGAATGAGTCCATAATTTGAAATAAATGTCTGAAGCTTATCCTTGAATTCAGTAGATCTACTTTTAGGTTGCTTCTTTTTATATACCATATTTATGTAGTATGTATATTGCTTGTTTCAATCTAAAAATGGTTTAATTAATCGTAATGAAGTTCTAAAAATAAATAAAGCTAAATTTCTACCATTTCTTCGAAAAATTTTTTTATTTTCTGGCACCAAAATAGTCCAAAATTTGCCTTAGGCAAAATTTTACAAGGCCTTAAAAAAGCCGAAACGGCAAACAGAAATTAAAGTTGGCTTATTGTGGCGCTAATAAGGAGGCGAAATTCTTAAAGCATGCGGCGGGATTTTAAGGGAAGATTTTGCCGGTGGATTCGGGGAAATTCTTGCCAATATGATTCGAACCGAAAATTTCGGATATCAGGATTTTTCGGACTTTCCGTTAAAACTCTAAATGTGATCTAAATTATTTACCTTATTGTTAAGGTTATTTTTCTTTCGATTTCAAAAATTTTGAAAAATATTTTCGGTTTCGATTTTCTTGAACTTTTTTTCTATTTCTGATTTTCGAAGATTTTCTTCGAAGCAGCTCTGGTAAGAATGTGTGTAGATTTAAAATTACTTTGCAATCAATGTTTAATACTTTATTTTTATGCATTCTTTTTTTAACATACATATGTATGTATGTATGTATGTAGTTTTTAATTTATAATATTTGTATGAATCATTGATGATTCATTTTTTCTTTTTAATTGTTATCAAATTTATCTTACGAATACTTTCAATTTTAATTACATATAACAAAATTTATTTTCAGACGATGTTCCTTACATTAACAGAACCACCTGGAACATTAAAAAACCTTATTGGATTCAATGATTCAAACACAATTGATGATAAAAACGAATCAACTGAGGAGGAATTTGATAGAGATTCTCATGTTGAAGACGATTTCCCTTGTGAGCCAGTTGATCCAAATGTAAGACATAATTTTTTGCCACTAATACTCTATTTTTAGTGTATTGATGTCGCAATTATTGCTAACACATCTCCGACAGATTTGGATAGTCTCTCTAGGCAATGGAAATATAACTTTTCAAGACGTCCTACCTGGTACGATGCTGGTATGGCATTGCATCAGATTATCAGAGTGATATTCCATTAGATTATTTTTATTATATTTCTTACTTTAGGGGAAAGCTGTTGGCTTTAGGGCGCCGCTCTATTCGCGCATATTTATTCAGCATTCCCTATTTCGTGCCGGTTGTTTTGTTCAAAGGCGAGCCTGGTTCATAATTGTTACATTGATGACCCTTTTCTCTTTTTGTTGCTTTGGACTTCGTTACGTGAATGTGGAAACCGACATTGTTAAATTATGGGTTTCTGGTAATCTTTTTTATATCTTAGAATCCTAAGAGTTTATGATTTTAAAATTAATTGCAGAGGGTGGACGTTTAAATGAAGAACTCAAATTCCTAACTACACTTCAAAATCGGTCACGTGACACATACAAATTGGATGAATCTTATCTTTTAAGAAACTTTGAACGGGATGATTCCGATCCTCGACTTGGTCTTATACCAGAAGATGACGCTCCTATGGCTTCTTATCAGGTTCTATCGTTTATTTTTCTTATCTAATAATAATTTCCCTGTAAAAGGTTCTTATACAAACTGCCGATCCTAATTCACGCGAGCATAACGTTCTCTCTAGAATCGATTTGCTTAAGCATGTTAATTTGTTAAAGGAAATTACACAAATGCGCGTTTTCAAATTTGGCCGGTATGTCTTAATTTTCATTCATGTACTATAAATACTGTTTATTTTTTCACATTTTCAGCTATTGGCGTCTTGAGGATATTTGCTTCAAGCCTGGCTCTCTTGATATTTCTAACAGTTCAATTGCACATGCTTTGAAGCCTACGTTAGAGCGACTCGTTCCTTGTGTCTGGATTAGTCCTATTGACTGTTTTTTCGAAGGTGCTAAACCTCTTGGTCCTTCGCCGCCAATTAAATTGAAAAATATTCCGTTTGGACCACTTCTGAATATGTTACTTTCTGACATGCCTGATGAGGCTACTTGGGCAAACTTAAATCCTGAACAAATAATACAGCAGGTTGCAGGCACTTTTGATCTTGGAACTATCAATAACTTTTTCTTACGCGTTAGTTTAATTTATTCATAATTCATAGGAAAAGTATTTCAAATTTTAGTCAGGAATTGGAACTGGATATTTACAAAGAACATGCATTGATCCGCTGGATCCGGACTGCCCTAAAACCGCGCCAAATTTTTATAATTCTTGTGAAGCAATTTCGCATCTGGAGCAGAGTTTATCAAATCAAAATTCTACTTTAAGCGAATTTCTTTTGCCCTTTACCGCCTCCAAGGATTCTGAAATAAATCTTTATCAACAGACATCTGCTTTAGACATTCTGGGAGCGCTATGTATTTTTTTATTTTATTAAAACATTTTTCATTTAAAGTTTTTAACCAACGGTTAAATGAAAATAAAACAGAAAAGGGATTATCTTCTCGATCTACCTGTGAGAAATATAGAACTCCGTTTTTGCGTTGGATGGCTTCAGAATGGGATAAGGCAATGCAACAATTTCCATCTAATGTATGTTTTTAGAGATATATAGAAATAGAAATTATAATTTTTATTGTTAGAAAGAAAAAATAGAATGTCGAAAAAAGCTTATACCACTATTTTAGTTTTTACCAACTTTTCCCAACTATGGACTTTTGATGAAAAATGGTTGTAATGGAATAGCGAAAAATGTAATGAATTGGCCAGCTGAAATGATTCTTGGTGGAATTCGCCAAATTGGAAATAACGTCGAAGCGGATGGTTTTTTTATTAAATTTTTTTTATTTTTGTTAGCATAAGCATATGTATTTAAGCTCTACAGTCAGTCATTCTTGTTGCTACTCCAACGGATGTCTTTCGACGTTTTAAGGTTAACAATATGTAATATGGGTTATATTTATCGAACTTTTTTGTAGGATTCTAACATATTTTCTGGTATAAACTCGACTTTATCTTCCAAAGATTGGTCTCCTCTTACTGCTCGGGATATCATTCAAGATCAGACGTGGGCGAAACGTTTCGTTTCGTTTCGTTGTTTCGTATGTTTCGTATGATTTTTACTGTTTCGTCTCGTTTCGTTACGAAACACTTTTAAATTTGTTTCGTTTCGTTTCGTTACGAAACACCTGTGATTTTTCAACGAAACGAAACAATTTTTTAAGCCTAAACTAAGGCCAAAATCTATAAAATTTACCATCTTTTATTGAAAATTTAAAAAATTTTCGCCTGCGGCGCTGAAAAAAAAAGAATTTCGGCTTCTTGGCTTTCCCAAATTGTCAAAATTTTCGCCTGCGGCGCTGAAAAAGGAAGATAGCAATTACTTATATACTACAAATCCGTTTATACTCCACTCCCTAATCCACATATACATATTACTTAATCGACGACAAATTCTATTACCGGACTCGCATCATAATTTAAAAATTGCGGATTGCGAGTTGCGGAAATACTGGAACCGGAACTTCCGGCGAAGCACTAGCTTATATCGCCTTCCTCTCGAAATGGAGATATGGAGACAATTTGGGTAGGCAATGGAGCAAGATGGTGAATTTTTTGGCCTACGGCCTTTCAAAATTTTAAAATTTTTCGTCTGCGGCGCTTAAAATAAAATTTTACTTGAAAAATATTCAATTTTATTTAAAAAAAAGCGTCGCCAAAAATTTGGCTTCGAAAATGATTGACCCCCCCCCCTTCCCCGAAAATTTTCCTTGCTACGGGCCTGGCTTATGGGACACAATTGTTGTAAATAAACCAATAACTAAATCATTTATAAGTCATAGTCGACTAATAACGTATTTGAGGTCGAATAATTTCGAAATAAATGCAGTTTTGAAAATTTTTTGAATATTAAAATGTTTCGTTTTGTTTCGTTTCGTTTCGTAAGATTTTGGTTGTTTCGTTTCGTTTCGTTAACGAAACGATTTTTAAAAAATTTTGTTTCGTTTCGTTTCGTCAGAAAAAAATTTTGAGTTTCGCCCAGGTCTGTTCAAGATTGGGCTCGTGCGTTTACCGATAAAATTTACAATCATGATTTAAATAAAAATGGTCATCGTGTCGTACATTCTTTAGCGTCCAATTCAATTTCTGATATGTTGGCAGAGTTTTGTGATTTTAATTATGCAATTATTCTTGTTGGTTATTTATTGATGCTTGTTTATGCCCTTTATTCTCAATGCCGTTTTGATGGTTGTTGCTCGCTTGGTGTTGAATCTGCTGTGGGGCTAGCATTGGCGGGTGTATTAACTGTTACACTCAGCAGTGTTGCCGGTCTGGGCATTTCAACATGGTTTTTATTAATTATTTAAGATATTTATTTATATCTTATTAAAGGTTTGATATCCATTTCAATGCTGCAACAACTCAGATTGTTCCTTTCTTGGCACTAGGAATTGGGGTTGATAATATGTTTATGCTTTTGCATTCTTACCCCGAGGTCGTTTCAAATGTGAATCGAAATGAGCTTGGATTTCTTCTCAAACAGACTGGTTAATTTATTTATTAATTTAATATAGTTCAATTTTAGGTGTTTCTATTTTGATCTCTTCTCTTAATAACATCTTTGCTTTTTGTGCAGGAACTATTTTGCCAATACCGGCATTACGTTCTTTTTGCGCACAAGTATATTTTTGGGATTATTTCTTAATCATTTAAAATATTCAGACAGCTATTTTGTTGTCAGTTAATTTGGTTGGTATCTTTCTCATCTATCCTGCTTTTATTGCTTTGGATTTAAAGAGGCGTAAAGCTGGAAGGAGGGATTTGGCGTTTTTAGCTTATTATTGTCTCTGTATGGATGAAAGTGTTGGAACTGTTCAGCATTATCAACACCAAGTAAGTCTAAAGTTTCCTCTAATAATTAGTAATAATATAAATCAGAATAATGACAACAATGGAGTAACTCATCAAGAATTAATAAATGCGACAAGTGATTATGAATGTGCCAGTCCGCCTTATTTACCTGCAGATTTGGACAAAACTGTTAGTAGTTGCAAACACCCAGAAATTGTTTATACCCAACCAAAGATCAACAACGTTTATCAATTTAAACGTACCAGAAAACGAAAACAAAAGAAGTCTTATAGAATGTATACTCTTCAAGGCTTTCTTCATATTGTTTACATTCCATTATTAAAATATACAACTTTTAAGGTTGTTTTAATATTCTATTGCATTATGTATCTATTAAAAAATTTTAGATTGGTGTGCTTCTATCAGCTTTCGGACTGTTTCTTTTGAGTCTTTACGGAATAAGCCATTCAACTATTGGTCTTGAGTTAAGTGACATTTTACCTGAAAATTCGGCACCAGCTGACTTTTTAAAAACACGCGATCGGTATTTCTCGTTCTATCCTATGAGTATTGTGTTGCATGGTGAACAGATAGATTTTCCTGCACGACAACACCAGATTGATTTGTTGCGCAATGAAATTGGTTGGTACCATTATTAATAGTGAATAAATATACAACACTGTTTTAGGCTATTCACGTTTTGTTGTCAAGTTGGCTGATGGTGAACCTTCTGAACGATATTGGCTTCAGCTATTTCGAGACTGGCTTATTGGAATGCAGCAACGCTTAGATAATGCTAAAATTCAATTTGGTGATTTAAATTCTGCAAATTTAACTTCGTCAATGATTGGCAATCCTGACTTACAAATTGCATTTTCTCTGGCATGTTCTTATGGAGAAAATTATGATTGCGATCGGGTTAACTTTGTGCGTTTAATTGATGAGAGTGGGACAATCAACTCTGATGGTTTTTACAATTATCTGTATGGATGGCACGAATATGAACAAATGGTCTAGTTTTCACTTTGTTGCCTTAAAATTCTTTTTAAGTTCTATGCTGTTTCTCAAGCAAGTTTCTATCCTCGATTGAAAAAACTACGTCAAGGAACTCCCGGAAATATGAAATATGTTTGTTTCTAATTAAATAAGATTAGTATCGAATATTTTCTTCCAGCGTTATTTTATTCCACCTGCACCAAAGCCACTATTTAGCCGTATTCCTTTCTATCTTTCTGGGTTGCATGATACGCCGACCATAATGCAAATGATTCACGATATTCGATCTATTAGTGAGAATTACACTCGCATGGGATTATTCAATCACCCCGAGGGTGTGCCATTCACTTTTTGGTAAGAGTTTTTTAAATCACTGAAAAAACATTTTTTAGGGAGCAATATCTGCACCTGGAATATTATTTAGTTGTTTCTATTGCTATAATCTCGCTTTCAGTGTTCTGCATTATAACGTCTGTTTCAATTTTAATTACTATCTTTTATTATTTTTCAGTTTAATAATTTTCAATCCTTGGGCCGCTGGAATAGTCACTTTGGTTGTGTTGAGCATGACTGTGGAATTGGCTGGTTTTATGGGGTTGGCACATGTCAAGTTAAATCCTATTTCCGCTGTTACGGTAATTAGCTTATAACTACAAGTTTTATATTCAATTTAAAGTTGATAACGGCAGTCGGTATTGGAGTCGAATTCACTGCTCATGTTGTTTTGGCTTTCCTCACTTCGTTAGGTACTCGGCATGAACGGATGGAGGAATGTTTAAAACATATGTTCGTCCCAGTAATTCATGGCGGAATGAGCACTCTTTTGGTAATTATATAACGATATTCACCTAGTTAACATTTAAAAATCATACATTTTAAGGGCATTGTGATGTTAGCCTTTTCTCAATTTGACTTCGTTTTTAAATACTTTTTTGTGGTTATGACTGCACTAGTCATTATTGGAATGTTAAATGGTCTTGCACTTTTGCCTGTTCTTCTTTCGATAATTGGACCACCCTGTGAGATAAAACCGGTCGGTGATGGCGCAGTTAATCGCCTTAGATGCTTATCTGTCAACGACAAACCAAGGCTTAAACAATTGACAGCCTCTACCAAATTCTATTTACCTTCTTCTAACCTATCAACATTTCACCATTAATTTTTCCCATTTATGCCCAATGAGAACTGATCTTTGACTAGAATTTTATAAGCATATATTTGACCTTTTTAAATTTTTGATTTAAAAATCTCCGTGCATATTTTAAGTAGAATCCAAATTTGTAGCTTAATTTAAACCCCATATCTACATACTATTTAATTAACACATACTTTCAATTTTTGGCATTTCCTACTTTTGCTATTTCTATTGTTCCCTACAATTGACTAATTTAACTATCAAAATATCATAATTGTTTTCATAAACTAAAACATACTAGAAACTTTTTTTTCAAGATTTAGCCTTTATAGGGTTGTTCACTACCGTTAATTAACCGGTACTCTTGTTTCTCGGTTATGGTCAGTTTTGGACCTGTTTTTGATTCGGTTACCAACCGTGTACAACCCTGCTTTTAACTCTCATTCAATTTAATCTAGGATTTTAATTCTTGTTTAACTTTACCTTACTCGATTATATACATATTTTATTGACTATATGAATGACTGGGAACTTTGTTTCTCTTCGATCTCAATATAATTTGAATTTTCGTTCAAAAACCAAAAAAGTAAAACTAACGGCTGTAAATATTTTTGAACGATTATACTATTTTATAAGTGATTATATTTTTTGTGCATTATATTACTGGCAGATAGAAGTAATTAATTTTTGGTATTTATAAAATGTTTGAAAAAATTTCATTTCATACAAAATAAATTTACTTGAAATATAACATTTTCTCTCTTGCCAGGCATAAGATATTTCTTGAGCTTAAATTTAATTAAGGTACACATTGATTTAATAATAGCTAAGTCCATTTTTTCGTTCACACGTATTTTTCTTTCTATATTGTGTAATTTGTCAATTGCTTATTTTTAATATGAATAAATTTTTACGCTTTCCATTCCTAATTAACCATGCTTAATAAATTTTATTTTAATCAAAATAAAGCCATTTAATTCTTAGAAATATTCGAACATAAAAAGATTTATTTGATAACAATAAGTCCTAAGAATTCACGGCGGCATTCAAAAGACAAAAAAAGCAAAGGAATAACAGAAAGTAGGGGATAATGGCTTCGCTTAGTTGGAAGAAGAAAGGACGCCCGACAGCAGTAATATTTGAATTCGGCAATGTGAAGTAGGGGGGCTAGTCGAAGAGAGGGAAAGGATTGATTAGCTTTTGAGTTGTGTCGCCCAAACATTCATCTCTCGCCAGCAAACCCCAGTCTTCATCACAACATTAGTGGCGTCGGTAGTAGAGGCCGGGTGGTGACCATCGGTCGGCCATTTGCTCCCTTCTTCATTGCTTTTTTCTTCATTTATGTCAACGACAGCATGGCGATTTCCGATTTACTTTTTGAAAATGCCGCGCATTATGTACATTTTTCCCTATCGAAGTGTACCTCCTCTCTCCTTTTTTAACTTTCCCTCTTAAGAATGCACACCGCTGTTCTTTCCCAGTCATTTTACACAATTGTGTCCATTTGTGACGATTTTTCATTTAAATTGTGCAGTTTGGAGTTTTTTTTATAAGATTTTTGGATATGCTTATCTTCCAAAAAATTTAATTTTTCGTCTGCTTTTAAATTGTTTTGCTTTATTTTTAATGTTCTTAATACATATTTCCAGATAAAAATAAATAATAATGGCTGCTAAACGTTTTCTCAGTTTATTCAAATCGTCAAACAAAAGAGAAAAGGAGAACAATGATCCATTAATGAGTGAATACCAGTATCACTTAAGTAATGGACAGCGAAGATCCGTAATTTATTTTTTAATTTTATCAAATGTTTAGAAAATTTTTTAGCGTCGAGTTAACTTTCAGTCAGCTGATGCGAGTTCAAAAAGGCGAAGTTGTGTTACTGAAGTAACTAATGATGATGACGATGGTAGTGAGGTTAGTGTGGATATGTAATTGAATTGATTGGTATAATTTTGTAGATAACTTTAACTGCTTCGGCTGCTAGTCGTCAACAACATCCAAATAGCAAGAAAATGCCTCCACATCCTTATTTGGTTGTCACAGAACCAAAACAAAACCATGTTAGAAACATTTTTATTCTTTTATAAAATAACAATTAAAGGGTCCTCGTTCATGCCCCGGAGGGGGAGGGCAACATTATTTTGATTTTGATTCTCTCGACAATGACGACATTTCTGGAGCTAATGGGGGAACTCTTGATAGGTCTTTGGAAGCTCGTTCAGAATTTATTTCGAATACACAACAGCAACATAGACGAAGTAGTAGACGTAGATTGCTTCCATCATCAGACGAAAAATCATCACAATCCTCACATCCTTTTAGTGAGATTGGAAATGGGCGGGGAAAGGAAGGTTAAATTTTAAAAGATATGTATATAAAAATAAATAAAACTTTTTTAGGCCAACAACGCGAAAATGGTGTTAATTTTGGTGGTTCTTCTCGTTATAAAAATATCCCGTGGGCAGCTACTAATGTTAACAATTGGAGATTGGAAGGAAATTTTGTAGGAAAACAGCAATATATTATTCAAATAAGAGAACAACAACAGGAAATACATGATTTGCAGATTGCTTATAGAGATGAAAGAGGACGAAGAAAAACACTTCAACGAGAATTACGTAGAGAACAAGAAGCTAAAGATAGATTTCAGTGTGAAGTAAGGATTTGGAGGGAGGGGGAGCGAGGGGGTTGAATTTTTGGAAATTGGGATTAGGGCTGTAGAAAAGTGGGGAAAGACTTTGATGGGGACACTTGATACAAACTATAAAAAATGTTGGGACAAAATTATTTTTTTGGGATTTGATTAATAATAATTTTATTTAAAAAAGAATTTTCGACTTCAATCAATTATTGGCTTACTAGTTCAACAACAACAGCAACCAAACTCGGGCAATTTAAATACACAACTTGGTATTGAGCTGAATAATTTAGCAGCGATTATGCCTAATAATTTGTATAATTCTTGGACTGGAAAGTGAGTTAATTAATAATTATTTTTGTTTTGGTAACTTTTAATTTCTTTAAAATTTATTTTCTTTGTGAAAATTTTGCGGTGATTTTGATCTCATTCAAATTAGTTAAACGAGTCATTTTTGATGAGCTATCAATTGTATAAATTTTAACAAAAATTCTCATCTTACCCTCAGCTTTTTTTTTAGTTGGAATATAAATTTTTTAGGAAAATTATTTTCAAAAAATTATTAGAAATTTGTTTGCCTATCCCGAATATTTCAGATGAAAAATAATAAAAATATATATTTTATTTATTTTTAGTACTCCCTCTTCGTCTTCTGCCGTTGCTGCTCCACCAATCCATCCACCACTACAACAACCACCCCCACAACAATCTTTACTTCAACCACAATCTTCAAATCCTTGGACTCCTTGTCGGAATGCTGCAGCATTTGATTTTATTAATTTTCAACACCAATTACCTCCACAGTCTTTATTTGGAAATGTTGGGGGACCAGGAGAATGTTTAGCAGCTCCAATACTTTCCTCTTCTTCCTTAATTTCACAACAACAAACAAAACAACATCAAAAAATTAACCAACAAAATAGTGAAGATGAAATTAAAATTTTTAGAACTGGACAGCATAATACTGACTCTTTTAGTGGGTCTTCTCGTTTAAGTAAATTTAAATATTTTTGTGGATATTTTAAACAATAATCGAAAATTCTTAAACACATTTCTGTTCGGGATAGAAATTAGCCGACATTTAAAGAAAAGTTTGAGAAGTTTAAAAAATAAATTTATATTTGGAGGGATTAAATAAAAATTTAAAAATTATTTTTAAGCAACAGGAGATTTAACTGAAATGGAACGTGAAAAAAATGATTTGTTAGTTAGTGATGTTAGTTCTAAAGGTAAATAAAAAATAGTTTTAAATTTAAAAAATTATTATTTTTTTTCAAAAGAATTTTGTTCTTCGCCAGAAGTTGAACGTGGAGGGGGAAATACAACAACAACTTTACACGGACTTTCCTTTTCTGTTGATGATTGTCAAAATCTTTTTAGTTTAAATCGTAAAAGTGTTGGAGGAGGGGGAGGGAAAGATAATTCTTTCCCAATTTTATTTCCAGATGTCGAATTACCGTTGAGAGATGATGGTTAGAAAGAAATTAAAAAATTTATTTTAATTTTTAAAGGTTACGCAACAAGCGAAACAAATATGTCGGCTTCGGGAATAGCAAATAGTGAATGTACTACAAATACAGTTAATGATGGAGGAGGAGAGGGAAGTATTTCCTCAAGTAATTTATTATTTGGAAATTCTAATAATGTTTTTAAAACTCGACGACGTTCTAAAAGCACCGGACAGTTAACTACAACTTTTTAAAGTTGAAAAAGGAGAAGAGAAAAAATGTTTTTAATTAATTTATTTTTTGTGTATTTTTAAAATTTTGTTTGAAATTTGTGCTTTTAATTTTAAATATAAAAAGATATGTATATAAATTTAATGAGTGACGGAAAGAATTGATGAGCTCTGAATTTGAAAGCACAAATTATTTTTAACTAATTTTGCCTAAAAAAAATTTTTTTTAATTTAAACAAAAAAGGAATTTTTTTAATTTCTTTTAAATTTAATTTATTTCTAAACAAATCTTTGTTTACTTTTTATATATTTGTGTTTTTGAATTTTGTTATATTTTTTGAATAAAATTTAAAAAAAATTTAAATTTATTAAATTTAAAATGATTAAAACAAATTTAAAATATTTTACTTTCAATGTCCCTGAAGAAAAACCCCGAAAGTTCTTGAACAACATACCCAGAGCTTCCTGCTGTAAACTAATATAGGTAGCAAATCAACAAAAAATTTAAACTAAATGACAGGCTTTTTAGACTTAATTTCTGCATTTTTTCATTTTTTGCATTTTCCTCTTTCATTTATTCTCGGCCCTCAGTAAATTCTTGCAAAGTTTATTTAAAAAATATTCTTTTATTTAAAAACGAAATTTGAGATTTAAATAATTTTTATATATTTTTCCTTCAAATAATGAAAGAAAATTCTTTTTAATTTAAAATTTTCTTTTAGATTAACCGAAATTATTTTTATATTTATTTTAATTGTATAAAATACTGATCCCAATTAAGTTTTAAAAATTGCGGCTAACCGGGAGTTGATTATAGGGTTTTTGAAATTGTGAAGTGTTGAAGATATTTATGAGGCCCCTTTCCTCCTTCCCGAATTCTACTAGGAAAACTATACGATTTTACATATTTTAAAAAAACGTATTTTTATTTTCTCAATTTGGCCATAGTAAATATATATATATATATATATATATATATATATACTTATTTACTAGAAGGGGGAGAGTGTGGCTGTATTAAAAAAAAGGAAGAAAAACAAATCCAATCTTTTCCCCTTATTTTTTCAGCTTTTCCTTTTTATTTTCTCATTTAGGAATAAAAAAAGGCAAATATAAGTATATAAAACAGAAAAAATACTTTTAAAATTCCTCCCCTCTCTCTTTTATTTATTGACTAAATAAATTTTGAAAAAATTTTTATTTAAATTATTTTTATAGCAAGGATTTATTTTGTTATTTGAGAGATAAACATTAAATTAAAGACTTTAGAAAAAGGGAGTTGAATGGATTTTTAATTTTTTTATTAAAAAAATTTTTTTTTGTTTTTAAAGTAAATATAAATAAATCAACGAATATTTATATAGAAAATATTTTTATATTTTTTATTAAAAATATTTTTATATTTTTAAAAGAGTTTAACTGTAAGTATAATTCAACAAAAAAGAGGGGGGAATTTTGGAAATTAAAAGAAAAACTAATTTTTTAGAAAATAAAATAAATATAAATTTTACTATTGCCTTTTTTAACAATTTTCTAAAAATTATTGTTAATTATTTTCAAAAAAAAATATTTTTTTGAAATTTTCTTTAATTTTCTACTGATATTTTTTAGTAACTTCAATAATTATATGTATATATTTTTTGAGGTTAATAACAAAGAATCCTCCTCCTCCTCCCTCCCCCTTTTCCTTTTTTTGAATTTAAAACATAAAAACTAACCAACCGAATAGTTTTTTTTAATTTTATTTTTTCATTTGTCAGTTTAGTTTTGCTTTAAATTTATCAAAATTTTTTTAACGACCCTTTTTGTTTTTAGTAATAAAAATAAAAATTTATTTTTGTTTTTTAAAATAATTTTAGGTAATTTATTTTGTAAATGTTTTTTAAAGAATAAATTTAAAAAAAATATTTAATTAATTAATTTCATTTTTTTTGTTAAATTATTATTTTTGTAACAATTTTTGTTGCTTATAGATTATCATATTAAAAAATAAATTTTGATTGAATTTTAATAAAAAATGTAAAATTATATATTTAAAAATTTTTTTTGCAAAAAAATTATTTTTTTTTAAATTATTAAATTTATTTAATATTAATTTGTTTTTGAAAATATTTTTTTAATAATTAAATTTATTTATTTTTTGTTTAAATTGTTTTATTAAATTATTTTTCAATTTTTTTTATTTAAATTAATTGTTTGTAACATTTAAATAATTTTTAGAGAAAATTTCAAAAAGAAAATGCAACAAAATTTAATAAAACCAAAAAACCCTTCATTTTCCCTAAGTGATTGTTGTTCTGATTTAATAAATAAAAATATTCCTTTATCAACCTCTTCCCCAGAATTTATTAAAAAAGACGAAAAAAATACTACTAAATTATTAAATCCCCTTTTAACAACAACAATACCCCCCACAACCACAACTACACCTTCTTCATGTCCTCGAAGACATACAGTTTTCTCTTTTTTTGATAGAAAAAGGTAATTAATTAATTTTGAGAATCAACACAACCTTTAATTATAACCCCCAAAATAAATTTAGGGGGTAATTATTTTAAAGTTTAAATTAATTAGAACATTTGAATATCCTCTCTCTCTACTAAATATTTGTTTTTATAAACCTTTTTATTTATAACTAATCCCGGCTCTATTTTGTGTATTTATTTATAACTAATTAAGCTAATTTAATTGAAAATGTTTGTATGGGACAAAACAAAATAATTAAAATTCTTTCCTAATAAAAACTCTTCCGTTTAAATTTTCCTATAAAACTTTCCTCCATTCTCTTGCTGGTAGTAAAAAATATTTACTGTCCAAAGAGATATATGTAGCTACCGATCTTTAGTATTTTTATTACCAAATTATCTGCAAATATTTAGTAATTTATTTACGGAGTTGTGTGTGTGTTTTTTAATGCCGGCAATATCCTCGGAAAATGGAAATAAAAAACAATTATTTTTGTTTTTAAAAATGGAAATAAAGATAAATAAATAAACTTTTTGACATATTAAGGGCATTAGAAATTTTAAAATTTTTCTTTTAAAAGCCGTCGAATATATCCTTATTTTTCCTTTCTTTTTTTTTTAAATTTAAAATTAATTAATTTTACTATTCTTAATTTTTTAAAACATATTTATAAAAGTTATATGTAATATCCAAATCAAAGTCCAATAAACAAAACAATTGTTTGCGGTAAAGGAAGATTTACCTAAAAATCAACCAATAATTTACTTAAATTCTTTTTAAAACAAGTCCCAGCTGTTACATATATTTTATAAAAAAGAAGAAAAAAAAGGTTTGGCATTAAAAAAAGATAAAATAAAAAAAGGTGTGAGGGAAAAACAGTTGCTAAATATTTTTTTGAAAGAGAGAAAAAAAATTAAAATTAGCGCAGCTGCAGTTTAGATATATTGTTGTTTGTTGCTATATATTAGGTTTTTTCTTTTATTTTTATCTTCTTTTAAATATTAAATATCTTCTTTTTATTCCTTAAAAATTAAAAAAAGGTTGCGAATTTATTTAAAAATATTTTTAAAAATAATTATTTTTAAATAATATTTATTTATTTATTTTTACAAAAAATATTTAAAGATTAACGAACATTTTTGTGTTTCTTTAATTAATTAACTTTAAAAAATAAATTCTCATTAAATTAATATAAACAAAACTTTTATATTTTCCAAAAACTAATTTTTTTTCTTTCCTGGCACGAATTAAGTTAAAAAAACTTTTCCCCTCCTCTCATTTTTATCCAAAAAATATTTCCCTTGTACATATCTGCCTCTCTTTTAAATTGTAAAAAGGAAGGAAGCATTGAATCGAAAGCTGAAAGAGAGAGAGAGCTAGAGAGGGATGGCTGTTTTGTGCCAGTTTCTTTTTTAGCTTGTCATCGACTAAATAGTTAAAATAAAATAAAAAAAAAAGTATAGAGAAAAATATTTTTTTTCTCTCTTTTTTCAAAAAATATTTTTTTACTACCCCTCAACAACACAAAACTCATTCATTCCTCCTCTCTTCCTCAACTCAGAAAAAGGGTTGGTTAGTTAGTTTTAACAAGCAAGTATAGCTACTAGCTACTAGTTATTTTTCTATTTTTCTAACCAAAAATTTTTTTTTGATTATTTTTATTTAATTTACAAAAATATTATAAAAAATTTTGTAATTTTTTATTAAAAAATATTTAAATAAATTATTTTTCTCTTTTATTTGTAATAAAAATTCCAATCTTTTTATTATTATTCATGACTGAGTTCTTCCCCCCCTCCCTCCCTTACTCTCTCTCCTCTCCCTTTAATAACCTCCTCAATCTGTCCTTTTTTTGTTGTCTCTATTCATAACCTTCAATATTTTTTTAAAATTCTTTTTCTTCTTTTAACAAATCCAGACACTCTCGGGAGCATTGATGGACCCCCTCAAACAATGAATGGATTGCCTAAATTACCTTTTACCCATTGACGCCTTTTTGCCTCACAAAAAAATTCTTTTTTTTTATTTTACTAGTAGCGCCTGACCTCATTTTTCTCACTTTGTCTCCTTGTCTTTTTCTATTTTTCAAAATTTTCTTCTCTATTTATTTTTTAAATTAAAAAAATATTAAAATTATTTTTGAAAATTATTCTTGTATTTTTTTAGAAAAATAAATTAATTTTGGAATTTATATAAATTTGGGGATTTAATTTAAAAAAAAAGATTTTAATTACTTTCTTAATTAATTACTTCGATATTCCTGTAAATGTGGATTTTAAATAACTTTGATATTGAAAAAAAACAGAGAAATTAACTGATTAAATTTTTATTATGAAGGAGCTCATCTAATTGATTCGAATTATACCAACATTAGTGTATTTGGAAAATTTTTAGTAAATTAATTATCGTTTAATTGACAGCCGGTCGAAGTATTATGTAAATAATTTGCCATAACTTTAAACATATCGAATCATTTAATTTCCTCGAAAAGCTCACAATAATTTTGCAAAACGAATTTTTCATGCGAAATTGAGTTTGTTTAGTATTTAAAATCTATTTTCAGATTCTTTTCAGCATCTTTTATTAAAGTTGAGTTAGTAAATATACACCGTTAAAATACCTCTAATAATCTTTCAATTAATCATTTTATATATTTATTTTTATTTTTAAATATATGTAAATGTAAATACTATAAAATTCTCTAAAAATGTATTTAGTTGTTTTGTGAATGCGAGGAGGGGAATATTTTTACAAATCTGCTCCGTTACACGAAAAAAAAAGATTATTATTATTTAACTATTTTGTATATATATATATTTAACAACAATTATTATTATTATTATTATTCATCACACAAAATTTTTTACAAATAATTATTCAACAACTACACATGAAATAATTTCTAAAAAAAATTTATATAAATATCATCATTATTTTAATTAATTAATTTATAATTATTTTTTAAATATATATTTCTTTAAATTGTCACAAAAATCGGTCAATTACCTTTGGTGGCTAGCGGCAGCCGCCAGCAGCAACAACAAAAGCCGCAACGTTTATTAAGATTTACTGGATTAAAAAAGGAAGAAGAAAAAAGAGGAAATAATTCCAAATTGTCGTCGTCGCCTTTATTTATTGGCGACAATCTTCAAAATACAACAACGCCGAGAACAACTTCAACCCCCCACACAACTTCCCCTCCTTCCCCTTCCCCTTCTTCTTCTACAACAACAACAAATACCCCTTCCTCTACCCCTTTATCTGCTAATAAAAAATCTTCTTTAAATTTCCGTCAAAGATGGCCACACAAATTTACTTCTTTAAGTTTATTTGGAAGCGGGAATAAATCGAGAAAAACATCAAATAATTTAACAGAAAATAATAAAGAAAAAAATTCTAGTAATTTAAATAATTTAAATGATTCTACAACAAAACATCGGTCATTACCTCCACCTTCAACTGTATTAAGGGAAGCTACACCAATTGAAGATATTACATGTGAAGGAAGAAAAAATGATGAAGAAGAGGAGAGGGGGGAAGAAAAAGAATTAATTTGTTGTTCTTCAGAAGAAATCCCTTCCCCTTCCCCTTCCCCTTCCTCACAACAACAACCAACAGCAACAATTAATACTTCACTTAAAGAAGAAGAAGAGTCATCTCTTTCTTCTCCTCCTTCCCAACAACAACAAAATACCTCTCAACAACAACAAAGTCCAATCCCTCAAAGAGTTCCTCCCCCTCAAAGAGCATTTTTTGGTGGAAGATGGCCAACAAGTGGAGGGAATACTTCTTGGTATTGTGAATCACCTAGACAACATTCTGGCTCATTAATGAGAAGTAGATTACAGCCATCTGTTTCTGGTGGTTTTCCTCAACAGTCAATGCTTCAAGTTAGAAGAGAAAGTTTTTTGTATAGAGGAGGAGGGGGAGGAGGGGATGATACAACAACTACAAATAATTCTTCTTCACCTTTTTATGGAAATAGATTTGGGGGAGGAGGGAGAACAACAGATGATACAACATCTTTGGCTAGACCGGCATCTAGAGCTAGTTCTGTTACGAGTAGTGAACAGTTAAGTATTTTGTTATTTTAAATAATTATTTGTAACTACTAAACTCGAATATATATTTTAATTTTTAAATAAAATAAAATATATGTATTTTATTTTAAAAATTATTCCAACCAGCTAGACACACACATCCACAATCTCAAATAATTTTAAAAGATTTTAAATATTAAATACTTTTTATTACTTTTATTTACGTAAATATGTTCTTAGTCAACATTTTTTAATAAAAAAGTGCGCAAGCTAAGAAAAGGAAAAAAAACTTTTAATCTTTTTTCATAAAAAATGGCAAAATTGTTAAAGAATTAAAAGTAGATATTAAATATATTCTTCTTTTATTTTCCAATAAAAATCAAAAATTACATATTTTTCTTTAAAAATATTCTTCTCTATGCCAGTTTTTAAACAAATTTTACTTCAACTTTGTGAAAAGTTTTGTCCTCCTTGTCCCTTTAATAATAATAGGTGTTTAGTATTTTAATTAAATAAAGAATTTATTTAATTAATTTAATTTAAGGCATAATGACTCATTTGATATAGTCACACCTTTTGCTCAGGTAAATAAAAAAAATATTCTTTTCTAATTAAATTTCAAGTTATTATCTTCTTTACACAATGTCCGGGCTAATCTTATTGCAATTGCACAAATTCCCCAACCGGAAGGCCAACAACAACAATCCCAGCCCCAACAAAGGCATAGTGGAAGGCGGAGTGGAGGGCAGACATCTTTACTGGTTTGGCCTCCCGGAGGTTCTCCTTTACCCGAAACTGTCCAACAATGTGGACAAGAAACACTTGAAGAATTAGATTGGTGTTTAGAGCAATTGGAGACTATTCAAGTATATCGTTCTGTGACAGAAATGGCTTCTTCTAAAGTAAATTGAATTGAAATTTGGATCTAAATATTTTCTTTTTTCTTTTTCAAGTTTCGAAAATTATTAAATAGAGAATTGACTCATTTCGCAGAAAGTTCAAAATCTGGACCTCAAATTAGTCGATTTCTTCTTAATACTTATATGGAACAAGAAGAGGCACAGGAAGAGGTGAGATTAAATTTTTTTAAAATAAAATCTTCTTTTTTCTTGAAATAACAAAAATTAAATATTTAATTTTATTTAAAAGTTTCTTCTTTTTCCTTTCTTTTTTCCATAAAAACATTCCGGTCTACTTGTTTTGCACTTTTTAAAATTAGAGTAATTAATTTTTAAAGTAAATTTATTTATTTATTAAAAGGGGGGACTTGAAAATTTTTTAAAAATGAGGGGAATAAAATAATTGATTAAAAAAAGAAAGAAAGATTTTTTGTCGGTTGCCTTTTTGTAATTAATTTGTTGCCGCAAAATGATTTTGATGGGAAAATTAGGGGAAATAAAAGGATTGGAAGGGGGGGGGGGTAGAGGGAATAATTAAAAGAGAGAGGGGAGGGAAACTTTTTTTAATTTGAAAAAAAATTTGTTTTTAATTAATTTTAAAAAGGGGAAAAGAAGAAAGGGGGTTTTTTCTAAAATACAAAAAAAAATTAAATTTCCCCATAATTTAACAAGAACAAATCACAAAAAAGTTGTGAGGGAAAATTGAAAGAAAAAAGAAGGGAGGGGGGAAGGAAACGGAAATTAAAAAGAAAATAAGTTTTGTGTGTTAACGGACTTCCGTTTAGATAAAATTAAGAAATCAGTAGCAAAAAAGGAAAAGAGAGAAGAGAGAAATTTTAATCACAAAATTCACAAATATTTTTGGACAATTGCCCAAAAACTTTTTATTTTTTAAACTTTATTTTTTCAAATTTGGAGATCTTCTCTTTAAATTAATTCGAAATTAAAATTTTTTACCTCTTTGAAAGGTAAAAAATACCTTTTTTAAAGAAACCTCCACAAATCAAAATTTAAAAGAAAAATAAATAATTTTTTTAAATTTTCTCCCTTCCCTCCCCTCCTCCATTTTTCTCCCCTCAATTTCTTCATTTTTACTTCTCTTTAATCTTTCAACATTGCGCAGGTCCTTCTTATTCTTTTCCTTCCGCCAGTCAATTTCCGTTAAATTTTTTTCTTCTTCAAAAGTCAAAGCCCACTAGAAAAGTTTAAAAAACGCGGAGAGGGAGGGGGAGGGTGGAGAAATTTTTAAAAAATAAATTTTTATATTTAATTTTTGTTCTTTAAAAGACTAACAAAATTTTATTTAAATTTATTTATTTATTTTTAAAAAAGGGTCAAAAAATGGAACAAAAGCCAAGTACTTCTTCAATTCCTTCCAAACCTCTACCTCCAATGGTTGCCGTGGCTGGACATGCTTCTTTATTTAATAAAGCCAAAACGGCAGCAATGTCCAGAATTTCTGGTGTTCAAAGACTAAGAAGTAGCCAATTTGGACCTCACCACGGATGCCCTCCCGAATTTGGAGTTCCCTGCAAAAAAGAAATTGAAGTTTATATGCAAAGGGTAATTTATATTTTAATTAATTTTATTTCCCAAATAAACAAAATTTATTCTTTTTTTTTAATTAAAAAAGGGGTCAATGATTATTTGTGGGGAATTGCAAATTTTTTGATTTCTAATTAATTTTAAACACGTGAATATAATATGAAAATAAATTAAATAAATTAATTAATAATTTTTTGGAATATTTAATAATTAAATAATTTTTTTTAAGATAAATGATTGGGGAGTTAATATCTTCAAAATGCATGAGGTAATTAAATAATTTTTAAAAAATATTTAATTAAATCCAAAATTATGCAGTTATCAAAACAACATTCACTAACATCAGTTACCTACACTTTATTGAGAGAAAGGAAAATGTTATTTAAATTTGAAATTCCTGCAAGCACTTTAGTTAATTATTTACTACATTTAGAACATCATTATCGTAGTAATCCATATCACAATCAAATACACGGGGCTGATGTTGCACGTAAATAAATTTATTTTTTAAATTCTTTTTAACTCATTCTTCCTTTTAAATTAAATTTAAAAAAATACCAAAAATTATTAAAGTAATTAATCAACTAAAATTATATCACAATCAATTTTAAAATTATTTCCTTTTTCTATTTCCCATTTAAAATTTACTTAACACAAAAAAACCTTTATAAAAAATATTTTTTTACATATTTTAATTTTTAAGAATCTATAAGCGTGCTAATTTCCTCACCAGCATTGGAAGGTGTTTTCTCTGATTTGGAGGTTTTGGCAGCTATTTTTGCTTCAGCAATCCACGATGTTGATCACCCAGGCTTTACTAACCAATATTTAATTAACACACAAAGTGAACTGGCAATTATGTATAATGATGAATCTGTGCTTGAACAGCATCATTTGGCTGTAGCTTTTAAATTACTTCAAGACAGGGACTGCGACTTTTTGCAGGGACTTACAAGGAAACAAAGACAAAGTTTTAGAAAAATGGTGATAGAAATGGTGTTAGCTACTGATATGTCCAAACATATGAGTTTATTGGCTGATTTAAAAACAATGGTTGAGGCTAAAAAAGTTTCGGGAACAGATACTCTTTTAGACAAATATCAAGACAGAATACAGGTAAAGAGAAGGGATGTAAAATTAAAATGTTTTTTTCTTTCAAAAGGTTCTTCGTTCTGCTATTCATTTAGCTGATTTATCAAATCCTGCAAAGCCAATTGATATTTATAGGCAATGGAATGAAAGAATTTTGGAGGAATATTGGAGACAGGGAGACAGAGAAAAACAGCTTGGACTTGAAGTAAAATTTAGAAAATAAATTTCTTTTTAAAATTTTCTTAGGTCAGTCCAATGTGTGATAGAGGTAATGTAACTGTAGAAAAATCTCAAGTTGGATTTATTGACTATATTGTCCATCCATTATTTGAAACTTGGGCAGAATTAGTACATCCAGATGCTAATTCAATATTAGATCAATTAGAAGAAAATAGACAATGGTATTTAGCTAGAATGGAAGAAGAAGAAGAGGAGGGAGAAAATGGGGGAGAAGGAGGAGAAGAAAAAATAATTTTAAAAGAAAAGCCTCCATTACCTCAACAACAACCATTTTTTCTAAGTAAAGAAAGAGCAGCAATGAGACAAACACAACCACCAGAAAGTTGTTTTAGTACAATTAGTAGAAGTTCAAGTAAAATATCTAATCCTCCTCGTCCACGTGCTGCAACTACAACTGCTGTTATATTACCCGAAACTGCTGATATTAATATTAGTGATCAAAGGCATTAAAATAAAAAAATAAAAGAAGGCATTAAAAATCAAAATAATATTAAATACTAATAATTTTTCTTTTAACCCTTTTTTTAAAGAAATTTTTTAATTACTTTTTTTTGTTAGTTTGTGATTCTCTAATTTTTAGGAAAATATTTCACAAACAAACAAAAAATTTTTTTATTGTATATCGGGTTTTTTTTCCTCTTCCCCCCTTTTATTCATCTCTTTATTAAGGAGACACTACAAAATGATATTTTTTAACAATTTTATCCCAATTTTCTTTTCTATCTCACAGATTAAATTAAATATTATACCCAATAAATCACCCTTAAACATTATTTATGGTGCTCCCCTTCTCTCATTTTTTGCATAATTTTTTTCTTGCTAATCCCATATTTTTCTAATGCCAGTTTTTTTCAAATATTTTATTTTTGTATTGAAAAGTGATAAAATAATTTTAAAAAAAAATGTAAAAAAACTGATTATTTAACCTTTCAATACAAAAATATCTTAAATATTGTAAACGCAATCGCCTATCTCTTGCTCGTACAAAAATGTGATTTTTAGATATTCAATAAAAAATTAAAAATTGTTTTTTCGCAAAATAAAAATATTATATGTATGTATGTAGACAATAAGGAAAAATTCCGGTATGCGACGCAGAAACTTTGCTGAGATTTTCTTAGATGTTATCTAAATCCCATTCGAAAGAGCTAATCGAGCTGAGTCTAATAACACCAAAATCAACTCGGTCGGATGATCTTAAATAAAATGATTATTAATTTAACCTCGTTGGGAACACTTTGTGCTGCTGCGGAGTTGCACAACAACTGTGCTTCGTACTTATCTGTGGTGACACTATGTGAGGGCTATCTAAATCCCTTTAACCCAAGAAATCCCTATTCCGTTCAAATCCAACGATTTCACATATCCCGTCAGCTCGCCCTACATATATCACGATATTCCTTCAAAGCCTCCTATATTAGTGAAATGCATTGAGAGAAAATTTCGCTAAATCAAATTTAGTAGATGTAAATTTTTTAATTTTTGTTTCTATAGATGTTTTGCCGAGATTTTCTTAGATGTTAAGACCTTTTTTTAATCTTAGTTTCAAAGAACTTTATACAAGAGAAGAATACCTCCATTTTAATTTATAGTTCGACGAATTGGGTATTTTTACTCTGTTGGACATTTTGAGTTGTGACGAATTTTTTGGACGAATCTTTGGTTTTTGTTCAGTGGGACGAATTGTGAGTTTTGTTCTAGGGGACAAATCGTGGTTGTGACGAATTTAGGCGCAGTGGCCCATTGTTTTGTAAAATTGAGCGAATCAAAATTTTTAGGGCAAGATTTACATACTACTTGAACGGGTCAACTCTAACGCATAATAATCATGGCGGATCCTGAAAAGGCAAGTGATAATGGTGCATGGCTGGACGAACACTTTCCCTTGCACAAAGCTGTGTTTCAAAATGACATTTCTCGAATTAATGAAATCCTAACTACGACTTGTCTTCCTAAAATCAATTTGGACCAAATGGATACTCACGGCAATACAGCGCTTCACTTGGCAGCAATGCTTGGAAATATAGGTAATTTATCATTTTTGGTAATTTCGAACTGGACAGACCCCCTTTTTTCCTACACAATTTTTCCCCTATACTTTTGTAAAATGGTTAAAGAGCTCATCAAACTCTTTAATTAAAGTCTTTAATCAAACTTTAATTAGAGAGTTTGATTAGCTGAGTTAAATGACAACAAAATCCAGGAAGGTCGCAACTACTAATTGAGATATAGTCTCCTGAAAATTGCAAAAATTATTGGAAGGACAAAGCTCGTATTTGCGACCTCTTCTTAATTTTGTTATAATTTATCTGGTTTTGATTCTGTTATATATTGTAAAGTTT